GGTTTGCACCAGCAGTACCCCTAATCTTAGGAAACTCCTAAATAGAACAGTTGCAGCAAGCAAATGCTCAGCAATTCTTTTCTCCACTCAGACGGAAGCAGCTCGGCAAAGCTGGCTGGCAGGTCCTGCAACCTAACTTACTGGTTGTTGGTAGGGAATAAGGGAATATAATCCCTATATAATAATCCCTTCATAACTTATTCCCTACTAAGAACCATGAAGTTAATCAGGTGCTCAAACCTGCAGGCAAACAAGTCCTCTCAGAAAGGAATAACCACAGAGTGCAGGACTTCGTGTGTTTCGGCGTCCACAAAGTGTGTGGCCAGAAAATCCTTCGCAAGCTCGTGCACCGCAAAGCCGTGCGCGGAAGTTCCCCACTGGAACTCGCTGCAGTTGGAGCAATTCTTGAGGGGATGCAACCCCATCCCGCCCACTCCGTTTCCGAGGTGATGCACCTCGTGCTCACTTTCGCGGAAATGCTGCATGACGTGGTCGTGCCCATGTAAGTAAAGGACCTCAGTTGGGTTCAGAGCATTTTGCTCGTGAGATTCTTGAACGCCGCTGGTCTTCTTGTTACTATGAACTGAATTGCTACGACTGTCTTGTGCCATTAAAACTAAAACCTGCCGAGTGCTATCTCGGCGCAGGCTGGGGTGCCTTTAGCAGCGCTTCCTTCAGTGCCTCGGCTGCAGCCGCCTCAGGCGGCGCTGCGCCGTGCTTGCCACGGTCGGCCAAGCTGCGGATTGGCCGGTGCCCCACAACGACCTGCTCCGACAGGAAATTAGGGAGACTTAGTAAAGTGGGTTAATATGAGGGTTATATAGGGATAATGGAAAAGAAAATGGAAACTACAATTTAGGGTTTAAGGTTTAGGAGCCGTTTGGACGGGAGCCTGACCCTAAGCTTTATAGCACATGTGAGTGGCAGGATTTGTTTTAAGACAAGATTGAGATCGCATCCTGCAGGATACCCCGCCCTGTGACCTGTGCCGCAATTACGGCACATTTGGATTTCCTTGATGGACCAAGCAGCCTCACCAAAGACTGGTATCAGTATGTCCTTGATCCCCTGATCTCGCAATAGCCCTATACCAAGATGCACATGGAATTTGGGGAGGCGCTTGCCAGAGCAGCACTATTTAGAAATTTTCTTGGACATTCCAGAACCCCTGAATGCCCCTAAATTGGTGTCACGAATGGATCCTGCTAGGCTTCGAAAATGTTATCACTGCTCTACTGGAAGGCGGTGGTCGAACACAGTGCGCCAGTGCAGATCCAGGCTACAGTGCACGCAGGACTCACTAATGGCCACTATTCATTAGCCACGGAATTCCGGGTCAAGCTGTTGGCTAGAAGGCCTTAGCCTTAGACCCCAAAAGAACCAATTGACTGAACAAAAAGAATTACACTTGAAGAGCTTCGGAGAAAATAATTAGAGACCACAACGGTGCGTTTACTGTGTTTACAAATGCAGGTGTCTTTTATAATGATGGATCAGGCAGCCCTGGTAAGTGCGCAGTTTTGGCCGAAGCTGTGTACAAGCAGTTTCCATGGGTCCAGGTACTTCTATGCGCCGAGAACGCAATTTCTTCGAGTCAGTCTTCCTGGGAACTTGAGGGATCTACTTCAGTTTCCTACGTCGAACTACAGTATAAGTCAAAAAGCACTCTCTGCTCTAGGGTCAGCGCCTATCCTCGGCGCCCCTCGTATCTATCTCAACTCCTGTACAAGATGATGAAAGAAGTATGCAGTTCAAACATGAAAGATCCCTGCACAATGGGTGGTTCAATTCTGCGTACAGAGAAGGAAGAATTATCACAGGTCGTCAGCGTCCCTACGGGCTTTGAGACCACAACGCAGCGGTACTACGCTCACTTGTGGCCTGAACACCCTAGGCGTAGTAACTTAGGAAGATACACCCGGTGTGTGCTCACATCACGAGAAGCCTAAGAACACAGGGCAGGTGCAAATGCGCGGTGCGATAGCAAAAAACAAATTTGCTTAGCCAGGCCTGCAATGAGGACCCATCCGCGTTGGCCTCGGCACCGAGAGCATGCATGACTTTGGTGCTGGGTTGCCATCTCAGTCCTGCCCTGGACTGATATTGGAATCACGATTCTAATCAATCCTGCCGACTGCCAAGTAGCCAGGCTTTCAGACAGCCAGGACCACTGCGCCTCGCCAGCCTTACCGCCAGCGAATTCTTCTGAGAGGTCCTTCAGGGACCCAGCGCAATTCTCATCGCTGTGAAGTGCAAGAGTTCAGTGCGTTCAACAAACAGCTATATATAGGTGGTAAAATGCAACGTCTCTGTCCGAAATTAACCTTAAGCCGTCTCGTGCCTGCTCGAAACGCCGCCCCTTAGGGGTGTGCTCAAGCATGCCGCCTTCGAGGCCCACAGAATCGACTATGATGAATCTCACCTCTTTCTGCCCGATCGGCAGGCGGAACGAGTAGTACCTGCAGTTGTCTCGCAGATCAAGTGAATGGCTTCTGAATGTCGAAGGCGCAGAGTTCAAACATCACCGCCATGCTTGACTGAAACTCCAGCCCTGCCACGGCGCAGGCAAGCGCCACCGAGGGTTTCGCTGCGGCCGATGCAGCATTGCAGAGACGTTGCCCCGGTGGTCATGATCTCCAATAGTGATCTCGCAGGGCATCAGCCCTTCAAGTCTAACTTGCAACCCCAACAACATGTCGTCGTGCCACCGGCAAAAGATCTTGCCTGCCAAGGGATCTCCGACAAGTGGCCGTAGCTGTAGATGTCTTCCTCGTCATGACATTGCTGAAGTGGAGAGTAGCACTGTTGCATTACATCGCCTACTGTGCTGGTACTGTGACTGAGTCCAAGAAGCGAAGGATTCCTGAAATTGAGAATCTTCGGAGTCTGCTACCTGCAAAATGCAATGACACGTGGTACGTGCAAACCAGCAATTGCAAGCACATTGCGGGCAGGTCATCATGCCACGGCTGCAGCCAGCAACAGCGACCTTACATGCCCGTCTAGAGTGACGTCAAGCGGCTCCCCGGATGTAGAAGTTGTCCTTGCAAGTCGGTGGCTGGACCGAATCACGTGGGGTGCCCGTGACGCCAGCAAGACTTCGGTCACCCCCGCACCCTGCGCTGCCACCCGAGGCACCCCAAGCGAGAGGATGAACTCCGGCTGCAACCTCTCTGCTAAACGCTCCATGGCTGCAGCGACGCTCTTCCTTATCCGACGGCAGCGTGTGCTTCTAAACGTCTCGGAACGATGACATGACAAGACAAGATAGGGGATGGATCTTGCAAGGGTCTGGCTGCTTGCTGAGCAGGAGTAGTGGCCCACGCCACCGTGCCTTTCCAGCTGGTTCTCCTGACGCCCCCACATCTTAGCAAGAATGGTGTCATGCTGCGAGCGCCTACTTGCTAGCGGCTAGCGTGCGAGTGCCTTTACTTGCTAGCTAGCTTGAACATGCGCAGGTGCTGATGCTGCTGTCGCTGAGGCTGCTGCTTGCGCTGCAAGACAATGATGAGAACAACTTCCGGCCTTGAAAGCTCTCTCACACGCTGCGACTCCGAAGTCGCCAACGGAAAAAAAGTACGTCATCCCAGCTTTCGGAATGCCTTGCAAGAGACAGGAGCCCCTTGGAAAAAGAGGACACACCGGAAGATTTCAGTGCCTGCACTGATGTGATGGGATTGAACTGCCCCGGCTGCGTGCGGTAGGAGATGCCTGGTGCTGGCAAGGCTTCCCGCCCCCTCCACTGGACCCCAAAGACTTTGAACGACTCTGACAGAATGCAGGGAACGCTTGTGAGCAGAGAAGGAGACCTCTCATTTGCTTTGCATGCCCCAGAAGGGACTCGGCCTCAAGAGCTTCAGAGTCACCAGCCCAATAGCGCCTATGAGGGTCAGAAGCCCACCGCCGCGCCTCACCTTGGCTTTGATTTGTATTACATACTGGAAGGCGCTTCTTGCAGAGAGCACGCAGCTCCCATCCTCTGGTTATGCTTGCGAAGGTTTGCTAAGTCCCCCACGCTGCGCACAAACTCCGTGCGCAGGAGCTTCAAGATCTTCATGATTTTCTGCTGCGGGGGGGCCATTTTGCGCAAGCCCCGCTAAGAATTCTTGCTCCTTTCTTGCCCCGACCCTGAGGTATATGCTGACCGCATGCGTTGGCCATTTCCAAGCTGCTCCGGGAAGCCTCCCCTTTCATTGGCTACGACTTATCTATCGAATTCCAGTCATGCGCCTGCAGAGCCCAAACAGCCACAGGACGGCCAAGCATTGGTGCTTGCACAGTGGTTGGTATGAGCTGCTTGGTGCCTCAAAATTGGTACAACCATCAACGGTGTGCGTGCTAATGGCTTACATTGAAAGATGCCTTGTTTTGGGACCCTTTGAGTGTTTTGGTGCAGGCCACAGCTTTGTGAGCACGCTGCTTGCAGCAGGACGCGTGGTGCCCTTTGATACAATGGGGCTCGTGACAGCTGACGCTTGACCACTGCTCCCGTCCTGAAACTCCAGTTCGCCAGGTGGATCAAACCCACGCCTCAAACGTCTCCGAATAGCGTTCAGCCTCGGGGAGCCACGAGCACCGTTTTGATGAGAAGTGGTTCAACTCACATATCTTGGTGCTACACGAGAAATCTATCTCTGCATCATCCACACCGGCGCAAGGCTCCATGCACGCCTCAAGGCAAAGCGGCCCCACAATTTTTCTGCACGCACAAAGCTTTTGCTGGACTGAAGCTTACTGGGGGTTAGTAGGGAATAACGGAATGATCATATTCCCTTATTCCCTACGAACCACCACCAAGGAAGCTTAGGACCAGGCTCTAAGTTAGGGAAAGACTTGGTCTGCCGTACGCAGACAAAAAAACAAGTTTGAGATGGAGAGGTCGTGGGACACGGCTTGGCATTGGTATCTTCCGTAGATAAGGGGACCCCCATAATGTAGACCCCCAAATTCTATAGCGCTTATTACAGGGATACGCATAAAGGTACCCCTAATTTTGGGAAAGCCCCGTGTCTGCTATCTAAGCTGGGAAGGCTTCAGCGTGTAAGCCTTAAGCAGGACTGCAGTGCTTCTGAAGTCTTACCCTGAATCTGGCTTGACCATTGATTGGCTGATAGAAGCACTCCCTACCCTACTCGTTGAACCCAGGAAGCTTCGGGCAGGCGAGTTGGACATCAGCAAATTCAAAGGAATAGGCTGCACTGGCTCACGACCCATGAGCAGGCATGAGCTCCTGGACCTCCATGTGTTTTTAGCTTAAAGTCTTCAAAGCCTGCCTTGAAGCGCCTTTGCCACTCTCATCTTGCAAGGCAATTGGCAATCGTCCTTTTTGCGCTCGGCTCTGGCCCGTCTGCACTGAAGTTCGTTCTTCGATGAGGTCTTACGAAACAATTGCAAGCAGGATCATGACACACGGTCTTTGCTGAACGAAACTCAGGCAGGTTGGCACGGCATGAGTAGATTCCTACAGTAAGGAGCAGGTCAGTTCAAAGGCTGCCCTGAAGGCTTCTCACCACATCAGCCGTCTGTGTGGGCACTGCAAGACCACTGTGGTCCACTTCAACTGCCTAGGCTTCCGGGCTTTGCTGGTCTGATGCCGCCTTCCACTGCATCCAAGCTGCATGTGCCTGAACCTTCTGCAGCCCTTGTGCGTGCTTGTGCTTTGCCGTTTTCGAATGCGCCTGCCGTCTGGGCTTTTCGCGTACCGCTACTTCGATGCATTCCAATTCAGGCGTGAGTATGTAAATCAATGCACATTTGCAAGCTTATGCGCTGCTATCCTCTCGGAACGAGGCATGCGTTCGCAGCTGAAGCTTGTCCTTAGCCCACGCGCCGCATCAACAAGCTCAACATGGTACGTGAGGCTGTCCTCCAACTGCTTGATCTTGTTCTTCAGGACCACTTCGTCCTCAAGCAGTTCAAAGTATTTGCTTTTTGAGTGCAGGGGCTTGGCTACCCCGCTTGTAAACAGAGTGTTGGCTTTCTGCAGCATCTCTCTCCTCTTTCTCTTTGGATAGGCGCTGGCTATCCCACCGCACTTGGGCCTGAAGTCAAGTCCCCCAAGTGCTTTGCAAACGTGTGAGCGCGTGTCTGGTTCTGAGTCTTGCTTGGTGTCATCTCTCTTGGACTACTGGCACCAAGTACATCGTATGCCACGAATGCCTTGAGCTGCATGATTTGCTTCGCCCGTGCCATGAGGAGCTTGTCCTCGTTGTGCCTGTCTGGCTCACTTCGCCTCAGGCTTTTGACCCGGTAGGAGTGTTGAACAGCAGTCCATGAATCTCCACGCTCTGATTCTTCTAGCTTTGTACCGCGCAGCTAGCTAAAAAACACTCATTCAGGTCACTGGTGTGCCAGTCGCTCTTCAAGAGCGCTCATCTTCTGCTCTTCCACCTTCTCACATATGCAGCGCCACATCAAACGCCGGCTGCGGTTCAACTGGGAGAAAATTGCGGCTCAGTGAGAATCAGGCAACGTAATGACTTGAGCGCTTCCGGAGTGTAGCCTGTATTGCCTGCTGTGGCGTGTCATTCAGAACCTCTGGTCAATTCTCGTTACTGGTAGGCCTAGACTGGCCATACTGGTCTCGATAAAATGAGATGAAGGCAACGAAGGCTGCAGGTAGCCCATACTAGCAACTATAGAAAGAAACCCAGCTTGACGAACGATCGGCCTGGCGATCTTTTTCCGCGACTTTCTTGGCTTCGGCGAGCTCTGCCTTTCGAAAGCTGTGCAGGAAGAGTCGTAGTATACAGTATACCCACGCAGACCCGGACCTTCAGCAGGGTCACCGCATGCGAGAGCTCTACCTTGGTGGGCTGCCATACACCAAGCATCAAAGAGGTTTAGGTGCATCCAGCCTCGTTGCCCGTGTGTTGTGCACTGAGCTCAGACGTGGCTCCTTCAACCTACGGCATCAAGCTTCAAGCAAAGAAGCTCTGTGCTTGCATGTACAGCCCTGCCTTCACACTCTGCTGTCTTTCTTGCGCATCCACCTTCAGAAAACTAATGAAGTGGCGGAATTGTCAACTGTCTTCTGATTGACGCCGGCCTGCTCAGCAATGGCGTGCCGGACGGATTCGATTGCAGCTCGCCTGGCAAACATGTAACATCGCGGAATTTTGCCTGAGCAAACTCTGACCAAACCTGACCCAGTTCAACCTTTGCGCATTTACCATGCCAGTATGTGCATGATAATGAAGCTTTCCTTCAGGAGAATGGCAACAAATCTGGAAAGGTTAACATGGCAATATGCAACATCCCCTCAGCACACCGCAACCAAGCAGTCTCCCTTGCATGCATCTTGAGGAAACATGACTACAGATCTTGTACTCTTTGCAGAATCTGTGGTTAGAAGCCTGCTTCTGTCGAGCTGATCCGCGGTCATTGAGGAACCCAGGCTGGCTTCAACCTCCTGGATATGAAGCCGTGTCTCCCGAGCCCCCACACTGTCAAGTTTTGCAGGAGTCTGCGCGAGTGGCTTGCCTGGAGGGCCTGCATAGCCACTTCACGCTGCCCAGCAGCAAGCTTCTGAATCTGCAGCGCCTGCAGCTCCTTACGAAGAGACAGCCCCGAGATGCCTCTGAGTCTCACAACTTCCCCATCTTCATGTCCTCCTCGCTCGCAGGCGCTGAACCAAGATCCAGCAGAGACACCGCCTCCGAAACAAAAAGCTGTGTGAAGAATCGGGTGGATCACATTCACCATGCTCTTGCCTGGTGGCTCACAGCTAATGCTGCATGCCCCTTCCTCAACTCAAAGGCTCAAACTCGAGTGTTCCCGCGTTGCGCAGGCGGCTGAGGCAATTGTTTAAGCAGCCGTCCTGCGCTTGTGAGAAGCCCCATTGCCCTCGACTTTGGCCTCATCTGCACCAACATGCACCAACATTGAGATGATGCCGCTCTGGAGGACCGACCTTGCTCGACTTCTGAGCATTGTTCTGCTTCTCGTTCTGCTTCTCTTGGCCAGGAGCCTTCCTGGAGTGTTTTGCCCCACTGGACAGACTTTCTGACAGAGATCTACTCCGAAGCACAAATCTCTAAGTGCACGCAAGCAACTTCAGGAGCCGGAGGTCCTCACAGTCAAATGGCAATGCATGTTTCGCATTGTTTCGCATGAGCAACCTGCCCAGACTACTGCGGCTTCACCTCAACATGCGTGGTTCTGCAGAAGCTCTGTGCCAGCCGGGCATGTCAGCGCTAAGGACCCAGTAGCGAACAGCTGCGGCATTGACATAGTGTATGGTGGAACTGCTAGTGCAAATGCCCCCAACTGAACACATGTGACAATGTGACATGTGAAGCCAGATCAGGATGGTCGGAAAAGAAGAGAAGCTTGTCAAGACCGGTAGCGTGAAAGATGTTTTCAACAGGTTTGGGCTTCGGCATTGTGGGTTTTCTTTCAATTCCCACCACGAGCTGTTACCCTTTCGTGCAAAGAAGCTCGACACAGTCCTCTTCAAGCTTCTTCAAGGACTCGATGTCATCTCGCAATCTCTGCTCAGCCTCCTGCAGATTGGTACAACTGCGGCGTCTTTCAAACCCAGCACTTCAGCAGCGAGATAGGCCTCGAACGCTGTGGCGGAAGCAGCGTCTTGAGAGCCGGGGCTCCCTCGGCTCTGACTCACCTCTTGTAAGGGCTCCAGAGTTGATGCCGCTGCATTGCACAAAGTGCACACAGTGCAACCTTCACGTGGCCTCAACAACGAAAGGATGCACTGCCATGGTGGCCTCCTGGAACTCGATCGTGTCATCTTGTCCTCCGTGAACGCCTCAGGCGCCAAAGAGATGAATCTCGGAAGCTTCGAGCAAAGGAAGGGAACGAATCCAGCTTATGGAAGCTAAGCGACTCTGGGCACCCGAATTGCCGTCCACTTGCTCTCCCTTTTGGACATTTGCATGCTAACAACATTCAACCTGCAAGCATGATCACAATCATGTGAGGTCCTGCTTGGTCTCAGCATTGGTGGCATACGATTCGTGCATGGAAGGATCGCTCTTCTTGGTCTCTGCATCCATCTCAGCCGGCCAGTCCAGGTCCAAATTCTCCTTCAGCCATTGGCTTGGACGAAAAGCATCCATGCTTCGTGTGTGTTGACATCATGCGACAACTATCAGGAAGCTGGTGCCAATCCAACCAACACACTCTCTTCCAGCTTCGGTGATCTGATGCTCCCCAGAGCTTCTAGATTGCAATGACCATCAAACATTGACAGCCAAGCACTTTACGTACTTGCGGCGGCGGATCGGGCAGACAGAATGCTCGCAAGCTGCCAGCTCTTGGCACAAAATTTGCTTCATCACTTGCAACCGTATAATAAGCTACAGTCTAAACTCCTAGTATCCCTATAGTACTGCTCCATATAATCCCCCATAGAACCCTCTTCAAGGAGTTTGGTCTCTAGCTCTTGTACTCGTAGATTCGGCACACAACCGGCATCACCTTCGGGACTAGCTGCTTTCTGACCGGCTGAGTCCATCGTTCTCTTGGCATCCCAAAGAAAGGTTGTCCGTCGGACAGAAAAGATGGGACATAGTTAAATGCTTGGGGGCCAGCGGCAGAAATGAAAGCCATGCGCCCCGGCAACTTGTAGAGGGTATTGAATTGCAGCATGAATCAAATTGAGTCACGCATGTGCCGGTAAGACAAGATATTCTCGCGCTTACATTAGAACGAGCAGCAGTTCAACTGCTATGAAAACAGGCAAAATACTTTTCGTGTTGAAACTGCACCGGCATGAACTGTGAAAAGCTGTAACTGTGCTGGAAGAGCGACAAGGAATGCGCATCGAATGCAATGTGCAGGGTTTGCTAGCAGCTACAACAGATTCCAGACCCAAAGCAGTCCTGACGAGTGCATCTCGACCGCTCCTAGAAAACCCCCCAAAAAACGGCCGCCCGCGGCACTCCCGCCAAAACCTTGGGTGCAGTCCAGCCCACGAAACAAGGCCGTTTCTTGGCCACTAACCCGAACCGCACGAGGAGCCTTCGTGCCGGTGTACGCCCCAGCCTGACCCTTGCGCAGTGGCACACGCCCTCCGGCATTTTTACACGGTTTTAGCGGTCAAGTCAGCTTGCCTGTGGCCAGTGCCAAAATACAGGAGGAATCATGTCTGCGCGCCCTTTCTAGACAGGGTGCATGTTGCAAGCAACCCCATGATGCTGCGGCCGAGGCTGGCCATTGCGAGTAGCGCCATCACTGTGATTCCGAGCCGACAGATTTGCGCTGCATGTGCTTAAGCAGCAAAACGTCATTGGAATCCCCTGCGGCCGCCCAGGGATTTCAAGCCATGTCAAATCTATAGCGCGCCCCTTCTCATAATCTTTACATGCGGGGTTTCTTTTCAGCTCGTCTAGGTTGCACCCCCGCTCTTGATCCCCAAATCATTTCGACATCCGAATGGCATCAATCAAGATATGAGGAACCCAGAACGCTGGGGTCGCCTCGTCTCCCAGAGATACATCCTGGTATTCTGGAGGGCTGTCGTTGGCTGCTTTGCTCTTGGAACCTGCGCGTGACATCCGGATCACCCGACTGAAGAGTGTGCTAGGAAGCGCATATCGCGCCTGTCTTTTCTTTCGCTTCTTTCGTCTGAGCCGTCGCCTTCCCTGCTTGCAAGATTCTCTTGGAGGCAACCTGGCACAAGCCGAAATGATAAAACTTTGACGATGAGCTTCCGCAACTTCTGGCTGCAGTCCAGGGGCAGTTGGCTCACCCATGGAGCGGTGAAGGCTGCCTTGCAAGAGATTCATTTTCTTGCCTTACCATGACTGGCCATATCTGGCCATCCTCAGAAAAATGCTGTCAAAACACCGGCATTGAGCATAGGATCCTGGGTGGCCTGAGCACGGTGGCTTTCCGCATCTTCAGTCTTTTGCGGGACGTTGCGAGTGCTTCTACACGATAATATGATATACTACAATATATATATATATGTACGAGCGCATTTTTTTTTCATCACCTGGGCCCTATGCTTCACTTTTAATTCACGGCGCGTCATCTCGTTCGCCCTATATTTGATCTTGTATACTGTGCCTTGACAAAATCATTTGATCTTGTTCGCAATGTTGGAACATGTGCTGGGCTCTTCTTGCACAGGAAACTGTGCCCTTTCTCGTTCGATCCACGGCCCCTATCTCGTTCCCAGAGAAATGCTGAACCCAGATGCAAAAATACCAACGTGCCTGGTTACGGAAATAGATGCGGCTGCTCATAATATGATACTATATTGGACTAGAATATACTAAACAAAGTTGGGCCAAAGTTGGGTGCTTGGGACCCTGCCTTGACCTTGAAGATACCTTCGCCAGGCACTGACCGAGCAGGTTTGTCCTGCAACAGGGGGACACTGTCTGCTTCACGTCGGCTTGCACCCGGTAATTAGTGCCCGGCAGGTCTGCTGGGGCGTTGTGGGAATTAGTGAGTCTCAGTCATCATCTCAGCTTATAAGGAACACTTTCGGTAACCATGCTTGCGGCTCGTGTGACTCGGCGCAGCATCGGAGCAACTGGCTGACATCTGCCTTTGTATGCGAAGTGTTCACCGCAGTGTCCACGTCGGGCGCGTCATCACTATCTTCCTCCTATGTACGACTGCTGAAACTTGCCGAGAGCCGATAAACAAGAAAGGTGCCTATGATCTGTATGGTCCACGCCTCTTCGCCCGCGCTGGCTTGGTTTCTGGACCCTGCCTGGACAGGTGTCCCCAACATTCCCCGACATTCAGACACCTTTTGGGGAGCTCAAGGAGCCTTGGACGCAGCAGCAGCGCTTGAGCTGTGTTCTTTCGCCTGCCACGCTTGGCATCATCCGTAGCCTGAGCCTACACTACACCAAGCTGTCTTGCAGCTGGCCTTCTTCGCAGCTTGCTTGCTGCTGTTGCTTCCAGCCCTGATGAGGGATGGCAGCTGATGTTGCACAAGTGACGAGCATTCACGAATATCTGCCTGGTCGGCGTCTGTGATGTCTTGTTCTTGCTCGGCACTGCGTCTGCATCCTCCAGCGCAGGCATCTTTTTCTGCCCAGTTGCAGCTTGTTGCCGCAGTCCTGCTCCTCTTCCTCCTCTTCGGCTTCATCGTCGACGACATCATCCTTGGGTTGGCCTCCTTCAAGCCCACCATCTTCTTCTTGATCTTCCTGCCCAGATTACAATTCACACAAGCTTCTCCAGGCATCATCGCAAGCATGCTCGATAATTCATTATTTTTGCAAGTTGCTTCCAGGAAGCTGGGGTGCCCAGTGCCTAATTTTGGTCCAGGCTTCAGCCAGGGAAGATCGAGCTGCGGACGTTGTGTAAGCTCGCTCAACCCATCTCAGACTATCAGAAATTATGTGCATCTGGATCGCTGGTCAAATTCAGCTAGCACACGAGTTTTGGGAAGTCCTCAGACGCCGTGGCCTACTCATCCCACATGGCAGGACTATGTCAGAAACAGAAACTGAAAGAAACCAATGCCAGGCGTGCCACGCCTCTTTGCCTGCACTGGCTTGCTTTCTGGACCCTTCCTGGACAGGTGTCCCCAACGTTCCCCGACATTCAGACACCTTTTGGGGAGCTCAAGGAGCCTTGGAGGCAGCAGCAGCGCTTGAGCTGTGTTCTTTCGCCTGCCACGCTCGGCATCATCCGTAGCCTGAGCCTACACTACACCAAGCTGTCTTGCGGCTCGCCTTCTTCGCAGCTTGCTTGCTGCTGTTGCTTCCAGCCCTGATGGGGGATGACAGATGTTGCACTAGTGACGAACAAGCAAGAATTGCTGCCTTGTCGGCGTCTGTGCTGTCTTGTTCTTGCTCGGCACTGCGTCTGCATCCTCCAGCGCAGGCATGTTTTTCTGTCCAGTTGCAGCTTGTTGCCGCAGTCCTGCTCCTCTTCCTCCTCTTCGGCTTCATCGTCGACGGACTCGCCCTCCGAAGATGCTTTGGACTGGCTGTCCAAAGGAAGTCCTCAAATTCTGAGGTTTTTGAACGCTGCACGTTGCAGGTTTGGCATGGCAAAGCTCGACTGAGGATATCCATATGCCAATGCCAAGCATCCATCTTCGGTTTGCACCTGGCTTGGAGCGGCGCAGGGAGCCATAAGAACAGTGCAGACGTCTGCCTCTTCTGGCGGCTCGTCTTCATTCTCGCTTTGCTGGTCCTTCTGAGGTCAAGCTCGTTCATGGACTTTAAGTAAAAGCAACGATTCAATGATGGTGATGCATCTCACGCAGCTATTCAACAGGTATTCGGAAATGCAAGATGCTAATGCACATACGGCAGATGTAAGCGCAACAACTGCAACAACGAAGCACCAGCCTCTGCCTTGGTAGCAGTGTCTGATTCTCCGGTGGCTTTTTGGCGTGTTGAGTTCGCAGCCTTCCAAGATGCAGATTCCTTCCCAGAAAACAAGGCCTCAGAGGATTGATCCTTTGCCATCCCGGCCTTCTTCAAGCTGTGCTTCTTACCCGTCTGAGCTGCGCCCTCCTCGCCCTCAGCATGGCTGGCGAGGCGAAGACATTAACGAGGCATCTGACACAGATGAGCTCTGCAGTCTTCTTCGTATTTTTGACATGCAAAATCGCTCCTACATGTAAGCGGCATCTCTCCTTCCTCAAGATTGACAGTGACGGCTGTTAGCTGTGACGCTGGAGTTGTCGGCCCAATCCCCGGGGACCTCTTTCGGAAATAAAGGCGGGAAGGACCAGCTTCGATCACTGGTTGTCTAACTGCCCGCCAGGCCACAACAGGATTTTTAAGGATTTTGCAGGATGATTGATTTGCACTTTGGCGGCAGACAAAGTTGCAAGCAAGCACCAAGACTTCAAGACTCCAGCGATGGGAACAACTCCAGAAACAACGAGTTTTCAGGAAGTCTAGCTGCTTGGTACTACAATCTAGAATATACGACACGCATAGCGAAGCTCCCCCTGCCTCGGGGATCTCCACCAGACCTGCAAGTCAGCAGCTGTGGCACTGCAAGGCGCAGCCACAAATATAGGGGTTCTTATGGGGATAATGGAAAAGAAAATGAAAACTACTGTAGCATATTATAATATATTATGGATGGACTTAGGAATTGGAAGCTACTATAATGGGTTATATAGGGACTACTAGAAGGATCCATTCCTTCGTTCCTAGGTAACCAAAGGTAAGCAGATGGCGCAAGGGATCTCCGCCTTCACCTCGTTGCTTACAATCCAGCACCCGGCGATCGCTCCAGTATATGTCGTAGCGTGCCTGTGCAGCAAATGCATGGTCAAGCTTGAACAAGACGCTCGCAGAATTCATTCTGCCTGGACAGCGTTCAGAGCTTTGTAGAACTCTTGACCTTAAGCACTTGAAACTGCTGTCCCATGCGTGTTCCCTCCAAAGTCAAGCCGCCGGTCACTTAGCCTAGCACTGATTGGTGCCAGCCCCCAGTCCTAAGTCGGCATTCTTTCTCACTTGAGCAGTTCTGGTTTCCAAATATTCCAAATTAGGTCGGGTGAGCTTCTGGTGTAACTCCATTTCAAAGCGATCCTCTAGGACCCTGGTCTTGTGACTTACCAGTTCAGAGGCGGCTTGCAAATCTACACTTCACTGCACTGCAGCAGAGTGGCCATGTGGATGACGGGAGTCGAATCGATCAGCGCACATGCCTGGTTCTTCAGCCTGCTCCACAGCTCCACGTGTGAGCAGCAAAGCAGACACTGGATCCCGCGGTTCCAGCAGATGTGCTCGTAGGCTTTGTGGCTTTCAATTGCAACGCTGCATGCAAGCAATTCTAGCATGCTTGCGCTTTAGATTCGACGCTAGCTTGGCTGCATGCTCCGCCCTATTGTCTGTCCCTCCCAGTTATGGAGAAAACAAAAACTTCCATGAGGAGGCCAATCATGCCAAGCAGAGCGTTCTTCTTTTGAACAGAATTTACTGCCGAACTCTTCCAAGACCGCTGTGATCCGCTGTGACTATGAGCGCACATGGCCGGGGACCTCTCGGACGCGTACTTGCACCACCTCCATGCAACTAAAGCACTTGTCTTCAAAGCAGAAGCGGTCCAACCCGCGAAGTTGTTCGAGGCTCAGGCATCATGTCCAGCCCCCAGTCCGACTTGTCGTGGATGCAAGCATTGCAATCTCGAAGAACAAGCTTCAGCCTTACTATTGTTCGGGTAGGGCGAAGGTGGTGGAGGCCGGATAGCGTCAAACATCAGGTTCATTAGCCACAAGGTTTTTGCTTGATATTGCATGTGCGACTAGAAAAGACCAACCAGTGGGTGTTGATGGCTTTTGCCACCAGCGACAAACCCCTTCCCGACGCTTCCTGCAACCTGGATACACGTGCGACTTGAGCAGTGGTGCTGTCAGCTCCACGAAGTCTGTGTGTCGGAAGTCACATCCTGCACCGGACCGTGATCTCGGCCCGTGCTGGCTTCGCTGCAAGTGCTCCGCAACAGCTCCATTCAACTTTGAGCAGGTCCCAAGTTGATACGAAAACACAGCTCTCTGCCCTCCTGCATCCGGACTTTGAATGGCGTTCGGGCCTTGAAAGCCAGGAGGCTCATTTTCTCAGCGAATCTTGTGTCACGCGCGCATGCGCAACAGTAAGCTGGCTGCCACTTATTTGATGTGCATGCCGGTGGGCATCTTTTGAAGGCGCATGTCCTGCCCACGGGCTTGGAACGAGCGGGACGTGCAGAACATGCAAAGCAATGGCGGCAACGGCAGGCAACCCAGGCTGCCTTCTCGGCGAACCATGGCGCTGTGCTCCTGTGCACATTGCGCACTCAATTTTCAGAAGGCTACCTGTCCTCCTCAAGTTGACAAACTGCCTGCATCAACAAAGGCTTCCCATTCGCTTGCACCTGAGCTCTGGGGATGGCAGGCTGACCCTTCCACCCCTCCGCATAGGCCCACGGGCCTACTTCAAGTCTCTCAGCTGCCCATCTTTCTAGCGATCTTGCCAACTGCATCCAACCATATTGATGCAACCCTGTGTACCAATCGCACTTTTTTTACCGACTCTTCGTGATCAAGCGTATTCTGAGCAAAGTGCGTCCATTCTCACCAGTAGCACACTGCCGCTTCTGTTCAGATCTTGCCCTGACCCTCAAGCAGCAATTGAGGACGGAACGAACGTTGGGCCTACTATCGGGGACTGGGTGAGCCGTGCCAGGGCCAGGAATCGCTGAATGTCTGCCTTGCAGGCGGCCGCTACACAGAGAGCCTCAGAGCCTACTGCAAGTCTGCCTGAGACAGGTCGATGTCGCTATCAAGAGCCCAGACAAACTCATAGTGCTTCTCCCAAAGCCCCTCCTGGCAGGAAAGCAAGCCACAATCCAAACGGAGTACGGTCTGGTGCAGAGCATCTCCCACATATCAACGATCGGTTTTCAGTAAAACTGGCATCCCAAAGATCCTTGTAGGCCTTCCTCAGCTGACCACATCTTGCTGCACCCACTTTCAGCTCAATGGCTGCACATGTCTGGACCCTAATATTCGGCAAAGCTTCTGCATCAGATGGAACTTGTAACCCCTGGCGACCAGAGACTCGGAAACATGCTTCTTGTACCTGGCCAATGTACAGAAGGAGCACCAGCAAGGTGGTTCAGGACAAAAACGGATCTTCCATGCCAAGCAGTGATGAGCTTGCATGTGTTTTCCTTTTTATGGTATATACTGGGGGATAAGAAAATGAACGCTGAGCCGTTTTCGAGTGACTTTGGGGCTATTTAGGTGAGCTCTTTTGGAGTGGTTCTTAAATACCTAGTGATTCGCCCGCTCTCTTTCAGTGGTTCCTGAACAGCTCGTGATTGGGCTCGCTCTTTTTCGTGTTTGGGCTATAGGGGAATCTTTCTGCAGTCTTTGGGCTTAGCCTGTGGGGACTGGTTTGCATCGACTTGGCAACCTTCAACGATCTCTGTAGGCCCGCAATCACCCCCTCCCCCTAACACTCAACACCCCCACTCCCCTAATATTTCACACTCCCAATATATTAAACTACACCACATAATCATGGGAGTATTCCATATAAGGGGGGGTGGGGGGGCTTAATGTTAGGGGGAGAGGATTAACGTACTTGAGCGGAGGTCTGCCGAGTCCTCACTCCACATAGCCTGTCTGCCAGGACGATGCTCAAGAATAGCTCCAAACTTGCTCCAGCACATTAAAGGGAGAATGGAAAAGAAAATGGAAACCCTGGGTATTAGTATAGGGACAATGGAAAAGGAAATTGAAACAGCGGATTTGATTTTGTCAAGTCGTGATTCTTGTGGAGCGATTTTGGAGTAATTGGGGAATCATCTTGCAGCTGCTTCTAGAGTTTCGTTTTCCAGGGAAAACCGCAGTTTGCAATGGAACTGCGAGGATTTCTTAAGAAATTTGAAGCAGCTCCGAAGTTGCGCCAAAATCTCCGTCTTCTAGGAAAACAGGAATTTCGAGGATTTCCTAAGAAACTAGCGAAATAGCCGTATCTTTTCCAAGTGTTTGCGGACAATGCAATGCTGCCACAGGTAAAGGCTCCAAGATAGCCAGGTAAACGGCTGGGCCTTAAGAAAAAGGCTCCGAAATAGCCAGGAAAAGAGCTCGGCCTCTTGAAAAGGCTCCGAAACAGCTAGCAGAAGACCTGGGCCTGAAGACCGAAATACCTAGGAAAAGAGCTAGGCCTAAAAAGTCACACGCACATGTTTGACATAACCATCCTATACTATCCCCAACAACCAGAGAACAGCTACCGACACACCATCACCGGCAATGACAACCGCAAAAGAATGACATAAGAAATCGCCTTTGCTGGTGGCAGTATGTATGTAATCTAGGTCCATAGATACCGGCACAGCATAAGTTTGCCGGCAGCAAACCATTTGTGATCCCAGTCTTTGTCAGTACCGCGGTAGTGCGCCAGAATCACCTGGACAACGAATGAGCCAAAGCGAAAGTGCTCATACTGGCCTACACCACTTTATTCTCTACGCGACCTCACCTACAAGACTTTCTGTGTAGTTTAGCAATCAGAGTACAACGCGTGCAAGAAGTTCATCTCCACGCTCTTACAAGTACAGTGGCAGGCTCCAGTTCGACATGTTCTTGCTTAACTGAGGCCATTGCGTCGTGTGGCACTCCGGCATCTTCTACCTGCATGTGTGTCGGTCTTGATTCCATCCCTTTCGCGCAGCGCTATGTAGCCTGAGAAACAACCACAGCACCAGGATCTGAGCCATGGTTTTTCCTACGCAAACGTAGACAAAAAACAATTGCTTCCACGAAGCAGTGCTACAAACCGCAAGCATTCCATAGAGTCAAACTCTGTTCCATGAGACATTCGCTTAGCAAATGCTTCTGTGATGGCCTTCCGCAACCTGTTTTCGCAATGGTTTACCTGGTTACGCAGTTCCCTCCGCCAAATGTGTCTCATAATCTTCGTGCTAAAGTCTGCCTGGTTCATAATTGGCGTTGGGATAACAAGGGGGTATATTACCATTCGCTGAGGACAAGCGGCCAAAGTTTGGCAACACGCCATGCTCGCAGAAGTGGGTGCATACAGTAACGAAAGCCTGATGGTCAGGCTGCTGCCTGGTCCTTCCGCGGAGGTTCTGCGAAATTGCCGCTCTATGAACTTTTGGAAATCATGGAAATCCAAATCTTTCCAAAGTTTGGAGTGGTAACGAGTCTCATGTTGACATGAGCTTCAGCAAGAGCGCAAGAAAACACCTCTGCGAACCCTTTCGCATGCTTCCGCGCGCGCGCATTCCAAGGCCATTTTGGGATGTTGCTACCAAGAAGTGTTTCGGCATCTTATTGCCTCTGCCAGCTGAAAAAACAGGAGCTTATCTTTGCCAGCGAGCCACGTGGCGGATGTTCTTTCTCACCATGTCCTCCAGACAAGCCGATGCAACTGGATCAAGTGGTGGCCTGTGGCGTAGCTGAAGCTCAGCATCCCTTGATCTCCTGTGTTCTCTTGCTGCCATCCACGGCCCAGAATAAGAGCACTTTGGCCTCAACCAGTCGAAGACCTGCATTGGGCAAGAGCACACCCGGTTCCCACGCACCCGCTCTCCCAGGCAGTATGCTAAAGAGCAGGCATGCAATGAACAGCAGGGCGGCGTGAAGCATACCTGGGAGGCTGTGGCAGCCAAATATCTTTTATGTTTGCAGCCTGAGAGCCTGCATGCTGCATGGCATGCCAGGATAAGATGTCGGCATTCAGCTTGAAAGGCCCAACTCAAAAATAAAGACATCTCTGAAACATACCGGCAATCGCTGCGCCCTGCAATTCACATGCAACTGAGGCATATGTTCGTGTAGCGAGGCTTTATGCTGTGTTGTTTTGGAAACGGCGAGATCAGCATCGCAATCCAAACAATACTCTTGACAAAAACTCCACAGGCTCTCTTTTGGCATAAGCCCGCAATGACAAGGCTGTCGAGTGCACGTTTGGGTAAGCTGAAGTGCTTTTGAAGTTAAATTTCCAACTTTTGAAACCTTGTCACTATCGAGATAGCCCAGCTACCAAGCGGTCTAGAGACTCATAGAAAATGTTTCTTGTCTTAGTTCTGGGCATCCACCGGTTCATTCCAGGCAGCACACCCCCGATGAATCAGAAGCCGCGATGCTGCCCGTAATATGGAAACTCGGACACGTCTTGGTGCCCGAGGAAGATTCGAGGACTTAGACCTGAGCAGAGAGCTCGAAATGGCAGAACAGGTTGTTAGCAGTTGCTGCATTAATTTTGCATTCGCTGTCATGGTGAGTGCCGGCTGGTCTCGCACCTACAAATTCTGATGCATTTTTCCTGTAGCGCTACTATAACTTTTGCTATTGCCGCTATTGCTACTAGTACTAGTATGCCAGCACCAGCACGAAGAGGAGGAGGTTGCAACGGTGGTACTATTCTGCCTACAAGTGCTACCGCTACCATATTCGAGTCACAACAACTGGCATGGTTGTGTCTGCTGTTGGTAATGTGCCGGTGACAGCGATGTCTACATTTCCCGGCGCATTGATGGATACTTCTGTCTTGACTGCGACACCATTCTTCCCTTTACTATCTTGGCAGAGTCATGCTGATCAAAAGTCAGCATGCGCTTGTAAGCTCCAGGCAGAAGAAGCTGCACCTCAACTGCTGCCCCTCCAGACACCGAAGAGGCGCAGCTTGATACCAAAGGGCAGCAGAATACTGAACAGTTCCCTGGAAAGTTGCCCTGCATTGGCCACGATCAGCTACAAGAACATCTCCGTCCAGCGCATGCTGCTTGAATCGTGAGCTGAACGGCAAGACACCTCTTTTTCAACCCTCCTGCATCTGTCCTTCTGCAAAAGCGCATGATAATATGACACCAGCGACTTCATCTGTTAGCATTCCCTTGGAATCCAGTTGTGGCATGCTATCGGTCAGACCATGCCGCAATGCCTGACTCTTAGATCGCATGCTGTACCTTTTGTGGCCTTTGCGCGCTTCTGCAGATGGACATCGACTAAGACAATCTGACATACGCATGGCCTGTGAAACAGCGGACCATGCATCCAGCATGGTCTTTTCTCACAACGCGAAAAACGGAGCCGATCGTTCACATCACCGGCTTCGCCTCATCCTGAAGAAGCTCACTGAATCTGAAATCCTTGATCTTCTGTCATTTAAAAATATGCTAGAACAACCTCCATCCTACGTCTAGGATTCCGTGGCCGTGCTATGAACTTTAAAACTTTCCAAACGCCGCTGATCAAACGTGATAGTTTTCTCGCCAAAACTCCGCAGGCCATCACGACTTTGACAGTCTTCTTTCGGCAGGCGCTACGAAAAGCCGCTATCAGGAAATTATCAATGTAGTCAGGGATTGGGAATTCTCGAGCCCCTGGACTGATGAAGATTCAAATGATATTGAAGGCAAGGCGACTCAGACGGATGGTGCTAAAATTCGTGAACGAGGAGAGGAACACGATGCAAAGCATCAAAGCCCAGCGTCCTCGTCTCCATCATCCGATTTGTCGGGGACCTCCGGTGGGGGGGATGGCGGTGCCGCAGACTCCTAGCATTCCGGCAAGCAAGGAGGCATCACTGTTGTGGGAAGCTTTCTGACCCCTGCCTTGGGGGCTTCCCCGGCTTCTGAGACCTTCTCAGCCACCGCCTTCAGTGCAGTCTGTTTGCGATAGATCTTTATTTTTGCAACGTGCCGCAATGAGAAGCACCTTCAGGTCGGAAGCATCTGCCAGCTGGATCACCTCGTCTGAAGCCGAGTGTTTGCCAACGCCGTTCCATGTGTCAGCATCGTGCCTGATCAATGAGGCCGTAGTCCTTCGCCTGTAGGACCATACACAATCGACAGGGGCTACATGTCTCCAGGCTGAGAGCCTGACCTCCTCTGCTGACATGAAATTATCGCGCATGAGGTCTTTTCGGATGGTGTCCTGGTCCTTGCCCGTCCTCTGCGCGCGGCAGTTGGTTACCGCTTTTCAGACGAATTGCATCATGCACACATATATGCACACTGAGCAATGCAATCCGCAAGACTTCTAGGGTCCGGACACCCGGGCATACATCCTGAAACATCTGGAGATCACTGCCCTTTTGGCCAGAACTTGGGTGAAGCAGGGAGAGACGCTTCGTTGCCTCACGATGTTCTCGTGGATTTGCAGAATCTGCTGGGCTTCAACCTGAAGCCATGGGAGACGATGAGACGACAAGCTCCCGCCACATGTCTCCCACGAAGCGCCTTGATGTCCTCGGCCTGCCCCTGAGCTCCGCCCATGGCTTGGTGGATCATGATCTGAGCAGGATATGCAATGCATTCTCCAGCATGCTCAGCACGCAGGTTCTGGGCGGGCATGCCTTTTACTTGGTCTGCCTGCATCCCTTTACTGTAGCCTATACTTATACTTCCTACACCTGATTGGACCTCTGCATGACCTATGTGAACAGGAGGGACAGTGTGCCCAGGGTCCAGGCCCGACTATGCGGCAGGGCAATGCCTCGAACATGTGTGGTTGGCTTCATGTCACCTGACTCGTACCAACTTGATGCTGCCAAGGGCACGCTTGCCCTTCTCACCCGCTGCCAGTAGGAAAGACGCCATTGATGCAGCAAGGCCTGAGAGGTCAGGAATCATATCAGCTGACGTGCGTGTTGTGGGCCATTTCCTTGTCTTGGGCCCTTGCCGACGTTGATAGTGATCACCGGCGACTTGATGTGCCTGTCTGAATGGCGGTCAGGTCTGAAGTGATTGAGCTTCTATTTGAGCTCCAGGATTTCAGGTCCGCACTGCATGGTGTCGTAGATGGACAGGCCCGCAATCACAGAGCCGCCCGCGCTATTGATGTACAAGTAGATGGGCTTGTTGTTGTCCTCGCAGCACGACTGCAGCACGGCAGCTATGCAAGTCATGCATGACATTTCTTCAGCATGCCTAAAGCCGCGCACTCTGCCAGGGCTCTTGATTTATGCGCAACAACCACACATTGACCGGCTAGCATCTGACAAGATTTGACCATGGGTTCTAAACAGACTGATCTTTAGCATCCTACCCACATGGAATATTCGGCAGCGCTCACTCATGTACAGCACCACGATATCTAGACTCTGCAGCAGGTACAGGCCTCGGAATCCAAATACAACCTGAGATGGCCATTACAGAATCGGTGCGGCACAGCTCTACCAAAGAAAGACGATTCCTAGCCAACACTGCATGCTCTTCCAGGAAGCAAAACTCCAATGACCTCGTTCGCCAACTTGTCATCAATTTCCTTTCCAATAAAGATGATTCCTGGCAAGGAGCTCATGCGGATCTAAGAACCCAGTAAGTGGAAATGTCAATGAGCAATGGCATAGTCATAGTACTATAATACTTAATACTTGTAGTGACAATTGTATTCGCCATAACATGTCGTTAGCACGAAAGGATGCTTGCTGCAGTTGGCCACTCGGTGCAAACTTGGCCTTCTCAATAACGGGTTCACAGTGCCACACATGGCAAAGTAAAAAATGTGTACACTACCACCTTGCAACTCTTCCACCCTTTCAGGCTTTGTACACAGCGCAAGGTTCCTGATGGCTGGCGCAGTAGTCTTTCCATTCTACATCTGTACTGCGGAAAACGCCGGAGACCCGCAGATCTACAGTGCTGAACGTAAAATGTTCATTTCAGATTGCGGATTTTGTGCCCATTGCGGCGAATGAAACCGTCGGAAAACTTTGCCGAGCATCAGGCCAACTAGCATTGGTAGCAAAACGTAGCAACGTTGGCCTTGAAGCAAGCTGCAGTGAAAACCCCCGGTCAATCCTGGAACCAAGCCTGTTCTGTTCTTGGCGCCACAAGCAGGAGACATATCTAGGCATTTTGACCTTCTTGAAGCTGCATTTCTTCTTAAGGTTGGAAGTGATGCAGCCTTCACAGGTCACTGCGACCTCATTTCAACCACTACATCTGTGAATATCTTCAGTGCCTTGAAATCTGCCTGCGCGAGGCAGACATGCCTTTTAAGGCCCAACATGCCGGTGGGCGCTTTCTCGGTACAGGCGGTTGTAGATGTCAACCTCAATAGACGTTCTGTCCACGCAAGTCTCGTCTCCCACACGCAACTTCTGGAAAAAGCGAAAGGCTTCAAGTCTGCACGTTGCTGCATCATATTATACAAAGGCTACAAAGCTAGGCCCAAGGCCCATTCTGCGTTTGGAGCTCCAGGGACTCTGTAAGCCACCTGCACGAGGACTGGTCAAGATGCCATGCGTTAAGTGTAGCTTGTCTACACTTCCCGCTCTTTTGGCATGCTGCGGCAAAGGCAGCTGGTAGACTTTTTCCGCTGCTTCACTGCATTTGGCTTGGAGTCGTCAATCCACATACCTTAGAATTGAATCCAAGAAGTTATGCAGTTTGCTCCAGCGAAATGTGCTGGCTCTTCCACTGCAACCGAGTGACCACCAAAAGGTCCAGTCCATTCCAAGAAACACCCGTTGTGCATCTAGGCGGTGCTCGTGCACAGCCCTCACAACTCCTCTGCGTGTAGGCAGGCTGTATCAAGCGAGGTGCTTCTTTCATCTTTCCCTGTCCTGGCCATTGCGGTGAGAAGTCATGTCCTGCAACGAGCGCGCCTGAATCAGGATGGCGCAGCACCACAACTGCTGATAGCTGCATGGCATTCTAAGCTAGGCCGCCTGCACCAGACAGCTTTGGCAACCAAATTTGGAGGTCCGAGTCAACACACTCGTACAAATGGCAGCCGTCAACAAAAATGGCCTACAGCAGGCAAACTCACATCAATTTGCTCTCACGCCCTTCTCATTCTATAGCATGCACGTGCTCCAAAAAATCAATGTGCGGCTGGGGCCGCTGCGTCGATGCTGCCATCTGGAATACTCCTTCAGTATGCACTTCAAAATCCACGACCGGCGACGGATTTGCAAGCTGCAAACTGTAGTCGCATGCAAACTTCACACTCGTGCGATGAAACCCGACTGCAGCTCGGACCATTCTCAGCACAAGCAATTTACGGAAGCTGCTCCTGGCTGCTACGTCTGAAGTGACGGGCAGAAGTTGAGCTCGATTTTGAAAGTTCTCGTAGATACTACTTGCCTGGGGCGTCTCAAAGCTGGATGATGGGGCATATCCCAGGCATTCATGAAGGATGACAGGAGTCGTTGCCTGTGAGAAGGCAACATCAGGGTCCATCGTCTCTGAAAAGTCTCCAGGAAAAGTACCGTCTTTGCCAATGTACGGATCAATGCCTCAGCTCAAGGGTCTGATGAACTTGCAAAGCCGGACATACTTAGTGGATTCAGTTTCACCGCAGGACTGTGGAACGTCATGCACTTGCCCTCCAGGTTGCCAAGTAAAGTCACAAAGGGAAGCTTCTCCAACAAGACCTTGGACCTGAGAAAACTCTCAATTTCGTTGGCCGCTTGAAGCCCTTCTTCCACTCGGGCCCTGGCAAACTTCCCCTAAAGACGCCAATCTCCACGACATGGATCTGCTTCGCTCCACGGCTTTGGTGAAGTCTTTTCCTCAATGAGATAGACGCCGCTTGAAGCTTTCAGCGACTTTGAGCTCTGTAGATCCCATGCTGGTTATACTGTGTGTATTAGCACCCCACATTGCAGCCATGACTCAGCAGATTCTGCAGGATGTCCTGCTAGAGGCGCTTCCATGCTATAATATAGTGAACCAGCAGCAGCTTCTGTATGCTACTCTTGTAGTGAGCTGTCCTGGCGCTGGCTGCCCTCGTTCAACAATCCATACGCCGGAGCCCTGTGTTGGCATGTCAACGAGCTCTGCAGTGGTTACAACGCTGACAGGCGAGGGAAAGTTTAGAATGTAAGGTTGGAATGTTGGCTGCTGGCGCCTGGAAGCGCCTCCAAGGAGAGTGTGCTTGGCATGCGCGTCATTGGCGCCCAGTTCCTCCCAGCGTTCGGAAGGACCCCAGGCGGTGTGGACCACATGCCCCTGGCAAGTTGCATGCTGGAACGAAGTGGAAACAGGGACCCGAGGACCAAGACCCAGCCTCGCGCAAGGAGTCTTCAAGCCAAACAAAGTGCGTGTCCCGCCAAACCTGAGTATTTCAGGTACACTCTGCGATGTTGACTCAGCTTACACAGGCCGGCGGCAACTTTCACGGGGAAGTGCAAAATCATGCATTGAGTAACCATCCAGTTGGAGTGCTCGAAAGCTTTGCGGCTGAAGGCCAACAACCTGGAGACGACCTTTGCCAGACAAACTCACCAAGTAAGCATGCTTGCGCATGATTGCGCTCCACCACACTGAGAAACAGGCTTGGCGCGTGCGTCCTTGCACTTGGAGAGGAGACAGCAACTCTGTGTGCAGCTGCCTCAGCTTGTCACCTCTGCTGGAATGCGAGAAAGACGGAGGACAGATCTCATAGAACTACCTTATTGTTTGCAGGTTCCCACAACACCCACCTTTCCTATCGCTGACCGTAGCTGCAAACTGCAGAGTGCTCTCAAGCCGAGAGTACCAGCTGCAGACTCACTGTCTTGCCATCACGCTAGGCTCCCCCTTTGTGAGAAACATATACTTGAATGTGACTGGAAGCTAGGGGCCGGGGGCATGCAACATAGGAGGCTTCGTGTTCGTCTCTGTCTCACGCATTACATTATCTACAGCAGCAGTCTTTCCAACACCTTGAGCCATTCGGTGTGAGATATTTGTAATGTGTATCCAAGGCCATCTACATTACTTTCTGGCATGCTGATGCCACGGGCATACTTGAGCTGCTTGCATTCAGGCCACCCATAAGCAAACCTGTCGGAGCTGAGGAGTGCAGCTCCAGCTCCCTCAAAAGAAGGGCCCCCGCCAGCTCCAGGACTTCATCAGCCATAGCCTGCTTTTCTTAGCAAAGCTGTCTGCATAAGGGCAAGCAGTTGTGCAACATCCAGCTAAAGATGGTGAAACTTCACCAAACACTTGAAGCCTCATGGATCTCCTCTGCAACATCTCCAAAAAGACCACTGCAAAGGGCCAAGTGCCGCAAGCCCAGCACCATAAGCTCCCAAGCTATGCTGTTCAAAGCCTCAGCGGATGTCTCATCTGCTCCACTGACTGTGGCAAACGTGCTGATAACATGCAGCCGGATGCCTCGCAGCTAAGCGATGTGAGGTTCATGTTGGGGGTCTCCCAGCACACCCGACGGGTGTTGTTGGCATAGCCAAACTGGGAGCCAAGTCCGCGCATGATACCTCGAGTATTTGGCTCTGCAAGCACTCTGGCCTCTCACTCGCGCAAAGCTGAGCCCGGCACCGAAACATGTGACGGTCTGCTGCTCAGGATCCACCTCTTCACTCGGATCGCTTCCGAGTCCCAAGGCTTCGAGCAGCTGTGCAGCGCAACTGTCGAGGACCTGGCAGAGCACTTAGGTACCTGCAGTCAGCTAATCACACATACTGGCCTTCTGGTCAGCACGTGAACCCAGCAGTGCAAAGCTGCAAACTTCCTCCTGGGACCATCGAGCCATGGTCTCCAGCAAGCAAGATCCCCTATGCTGCAGCATGTTGCTACACCTCTTCGAGTGGCCAGTTCGGGAAGGATGCATCTGGCAGACTAGTTCTCAACCATTGCTGGGCCCACGTCCTGGCCGGTGGCGCCTCTTCCATGGATGCCGGCGAGGAGCAAGGCCAGCCAAGCAGTGATCATCAACTTAAGGAGGCAAAGTTGCTGGGTATGGTAGCAGGGCTAGCCAAGTGTAGGGTTGTAGAGGCTGCTCTTGCCACAGGTGCAGCAAGTAAGTCAACTGCGCAGGATCAAAGAAAGCATGATTGTCTTCACAAAAGCCTTTCGAATAGGTATATGGATTCCTGGCTGGATGGTCATGCGTCTCTGAGCCGTTTGCCTGGGCTAGTATGCGCATCACATGTACTGGTTCTTTTGCTTGAGCCAGGCGCATCAGGATCATAGGATGCCCCAGGCACATTCACTGTAGTTAGAAGTTGCCCTGAATTCAATGCAGGAGTATTCTTGCGTCTCCGCACCTTGGGCACGCCTAGTGGCATCATGTACCAGCCGTCATCTGCGGCCTCCCAAACACCACTGCGCTGAAAGCCGAATAATTGCGCACGCGCTGCCCAGAGATGCATATTCTGTTTAGACACCAAATTATACTGTAAATACTGTGATTTTAATCTTCATTACGTATAGGTACCCCAAAATCGTGGTACCTGCAGAGAGCGCGAGCCCTGATCATGCTGAGCACGGAGAGGCACTCGGCTTGGCCTCAGGACTCAGCTCAACTTCTTGCGGCGCACAGTTTTAGCACCTGCGGAGGTTCTGCAAAGGCGGCTGCGCAGCCACGAAGTTGGTGGATGACCTAACAGCTTACAAACGTGGAGTTGCGAAAAGTTGTGGATGTTGCTGTGCTGTTGAAGCACAGTGGTTGACCTGGCCTCAGCACCAGTGCGGCCAGACCGGCCGCCAGCAACCAAGACGAGTGGGCCTTCAATAGGTGTTTGTCTGTCAAGGCAGTTTCTCAGCTGGCTCCGCTATGCTCCGCTGCACCTGTGCCCTTGGTCTCGGTGCAGAGCTGGCACCTTGCAGAGCGCATCCAGTAGTCATCTGCCAAGCGTGGTGGGATGCGCTCCAAAGCAGTTGTTCGTGGCTACAGTGGCTTCGCATTCCAGAAGGACCGTCTAAAGAGTCGTTAGGACTGTTAGGAACGACCTTCATCTTCTTAGCCTAGCCTGGCTATACCTGGCAGCCGCGACTTTTTTTCGAACAAGCAATCTGAGTTGGCCTGCGTGCGACATGGGCGCCACCTGCACATTTACACCGTGACATTCAGGCCGCCTCTTTGGCTGTAATCTGGGGAAGGTGGCGCAAGGATGATGGGAGCATTGCAACAAACCAGGCCAGAACAGGCAAGCAAAGTGGCACGTTGCAGCTGGTGCCTGCAGCCGCGCAACCTTGAGCCGGGCGGTACCCGGTGGCCACTTTTCGAGCCAAACAGCCAGCGCCATAACACGACCTTTTCATCTGCTATGCGGTATGTCGTACACTCAACTTAACGGGTATTCCTAGCCCGTGAACTCGGAACTTCCCCTGCACACATCAGACGGAATTCTTTTGAGGAGGGGCGCGCAGCCAACACTCCTGCGGTGTTCGCAGGTGCCTGTCGCACCGCCACGTCGATGGTGCTCGCGAAATCGATTTCACTAAGTCTGCAGAGATGCAATGATGTCCTGCAGCTCCAGAACATCTGGGTGGCTGGGCCCAAAAAGCTTCTGGCGCACAGCTAGCTCACCTTGATTGCAAGCAGAGACAGGGCTATTCGTCGAGACTCTACATTGACATCTTCCTGACGACTGCCTAAGCTTGAAACAAGGAGCGGGTGTAGAGGTTCAAGGCTTCCGCGATCTCCCCCAGCCTTTCTCTCAAATTGGCGCTTGCACCCAAGATGTCTGCCACCTCCACACTTTCAGGGTTGTGGCTGTCCTGGATGCTCAATGCCTGTGCGTATAACCTCAGTGACTCATCTACTTCGCCAAGAGAGTCTCTTCGGCCAGCAAGGTTGAAAAGGATCCTTGCAATGTGAGGATGCGAAGGACCAAAGAACTTCTCCCAGATAGATAGAGACCTTCCAGCAAAGTCCATAGCTTCCTCAACTTGTCCCAAGCGATCTTTGAGGTTGGCGATGCTGTCAAGGGTCATGGCAACGTAGAAATGGTTGTTGCCTAGGACCTCCAGTGCTGAGGCTTCAGAGTTGCTTGCATGTAAGCAGGTGGACACAGCTGTTTCTCTCAGTCGACCGACAGTGGGCTGGCCCTTGCCCTGAACCCAAGGGTCCCTTGCCTTCTCCCTGATGGAGAGAGCTCTGACGTAGATATCCAGCGCCTCTTCAACTCGACCCTGCTGCTCCTGCACAAATCTGAGATTTTTGGGGATGCAGTCGACAGGAGCAGCGCTTCCACGGGTGGCGATAGTACCATTCATTCTTTCTCATCAGCCCCTGCTGTCCTTCAAGCCAGCAAGAGCATGAAGGGCGGCTGCTACATCCGGGTGCTCTGGCCCGTGAACTTGCCCCAGAATCGCCTTGGCAATGTCAGCTGCTAGTTGGGCGTCTAGCATGCTTACGAGCATGGGAGCGCAGCAGGAACCAAGCCCCTGACCAAAGCTTTGCCACGAAGATTTGCGGCTTCCTCCATGAATGCACATGGACCGCGCCTATGGACTAGAAAATAAGAGTATGCTAATGCACTTGTTTCTGGCGAGGGCCTCTAGATCGCCTGGCAAGCTTCCAGATGACTGTCATCCCTCCAACAAGCTTCCACGTTCAACTTGCACAAGCCTCTCCCGGCCCTCAGCTTGGCAACTTCGTTCAGCGTCGTGGCCTCCTTGGCGCAAGAAGGACTGGACCATGCTTGAGATAGGTTCAAAAGCACATTCCACAGCATCGCACAGGTTGCAGTTGTCAGCTCTTGAAGCCGTGTGGGCCTCTACAAAAGGGCCTCTCTTGTGCATGGCCTGATGGCACTGCGTAAGTGTGCATCAGACCTTGCATGCAAGCTTCTTGTACTGGCGGAATAGGTCCAGCTGGGTCCGCCAGTGAATCCCACTTGCCTGCAAACGCAAACATTGGCTTGGCCACTTTTGCAGAAGTGCAACGCTCATCAACGCTCCATGCCTGTTGCGGTGCCACTTTCGGGGCTGAAGAAATGCCTAAGTATCAAGTCTTTGTACGCCAGAGTTCCATCACCTCGGAGATGATTCGCCACTTTGTGTGATAAGCTTAACGTTAACGTGAATGGTTCTGCCAATGAAAAAGATTCACTTCGCTTGCCACTCATAAGCTGGGCACCATCGATGCCCGCATTGAAGAGCATCTCCTTAGTTCATGACACGGGTATCTTTGGACCACTCCATGCACTAGCCTGCTTGGCTTCCTTGCGCCTGGCCTTTGTGGTCTCATCATGTAGCTCCCTTGCCTTAGGCCCCTATCACCATAATTATTCCTCAGTCTTCCTCTTGCGGGTGCCTGGTACCTGCGAACTAACTAACTGTCATTTCCAATTCGAGTGCCTGTACTCGTGAATTCGTGGCTTCGAAACAGCCTTTCGGTGCCTGTGCAACGCCCCTGATGAAGCTTTGCTAATCCAGCCCAAACTGCCAGCTCTTCGGAGAAACGCTGGCCAAACAAAACCCGACCCAAAGCGTTTGTTCTACAACGATTCTAGGCAAAGTTATGATTCTTGCAACTATATTCCCTCCTGCCGCTTACTCCTTACGCAAAGCAAGGCGCCTCAAGCTCCTCTGATGTGAAGGGGTTGCCTCAGCAGGTGGGCAGGCAAGACACAGAGCTGGCACCTGTGATGTCATATGATGCTAGCCGCTTTATGAGCATGATGAAATGATACTGACAGGGACAAGACACCTGACATGCTCATGATCTGCACGAGCTTCTCCACCGTTATCCGCCCGCTTGACTGAGTGTCAAAAGCCTTGAATGCCGCTTAGCTCACAAGAAGGCCGTGAACGAAGGAGGGTCTGCTGGAACAGACTGCACTGGCCGTGGCACCTGAAAGCTGAGAAGAAGTTCTTGTGCCTGATCTTTGGCCAGCCACCCTGCCAGCGCTTCCTGTTAGGGTGTGCATTGAATGCCGATAATCGATAAACCTAGGCCTGCCTTTTGTGTAAGGCCAAAGGTCAGACAAAATGAGCTGAGTTTGCAAGCCCCAGTCTTGCATCAATTTCACGAATGACGGCCCATCGAACATGGAGCCAGCACCGGCGTTTTGGCAAAGCGTGCTGACCTTCGCAACTCAAGATGCATGCGCTGTACTGTAGTAGTCTGTTCAATGGGCTTCAGGGAGGGATGATAGGGATGAAAGAGGACCACCAAGCACTCATTGCATTCAAATAGCGGGGAAACGGAAGCAAAAGGCCGTACTAAATTGCCCAGAAGCATCTCCCTCAGTGGGATTCATTCCGAGCAGACGCATTGCTGCGGGTAGCTTTGCTGCTCTCAGGCAGGCTTCTCCCTCTCGAAGTTCATCGAAAACAGCCATGATCGTTACCTCGAGTGGAGGCATAGCGGCATAACTGCACAATGGCATGAGGGTGGTGATGATGATGGTAATGACGATGGTGATGGCGGTGGCGGCGGCGGCGGTGGTTGTCATGAAGAAGATGCAAGAGAGCGGCATGCGAATTGCCAACGGCCATTGTTCATTGTGGCTTTGGCTGCGAACTGGTCGGCCTTTACAGTCTGCGATTGTCCTTGCCGCTAATTTTGCGCACAGGGCACTGTAACGGCTGAGCCATGTCTTCCTACGCTCTAGTGCTCCAGGATGTGTGTATACCTCGTCTCAAGCTTGCTAGCCTGGTTGGAACCTTTGCAGGCCTGTCACGCACGCTGCTTAACCCATCGTGACCCGTGCAGGCTTTGTACAAGGGCTGCAAGCCAGAAAGGCTTTGGCATGATGTGGCTCAAACGGGCTTCAGGTGAACTGCTTTGACCCGTCAGGCCAGAGCACATCCGTGTCTATGTTGGTACGCCAATGCTGGTGCAGGCAACTAGACAATTGCCTCAGAAGCAATCGATTCTGCCGACTGGCGGAATAAATGGGCATAACCCGGATCAGCAGGGGTCAAGGATACTTCGTTGCTCTTCAAGATTCCTCCTCGCACAGCCTGTTGGTTTGTGCGGATCGACTTGGGACTGCAGAAACCTTCTCACACATGCTGCATCACGTCTTGACAGGCCACCTGCCATATCTTGGTATGTGTACCTTTACTTCGGCAGTCAACTTGTAATTGTAACTTGTAGTACAGACAGCCCCACATGCAGGCAAACACTATAACGTTCACCTCATATTAATAAACCCCTGCGTAATTGCAAGATCCAAATCCCAGAACGTAATTACAGACCCCCCAGTAATTGCAAAATCCAACCTGCCAAAATGCAAAGATGCTGGAAGCGCTCGAAGAGTACTCTGTTGCCCAAGATTAGGAAAACGCTTGCTCTGTGGAGGCGCACGTTGTCTTCTAGAGCAAGTGGTGCTTCTACTACTGGCCAGTACTATTATTGGCTACGACGACTGGAGTTCCAGCTCACGGTCCCGGAGACCCTTAATTACTGAGGCTCGGGTTCACATCCTCGGAGGGGTGGGGGGGGGTTCTTATTATGAGGTTAACATTAAGAGTAGAGCCATCATTTTTGTATCGATGAGCTGCTCGCAGCAGTATGTTGCAGGCCATGCGCATAGCTTTCGACTACTGTAGTTCTCTTGCCACCTCATCGAAAGCCGGGCGTGACTCTGACAAGCTAACTACTCACACGTGAAAGATCAAGCATCCTGTCCACATGCACACTAGACGGACCAATTTGCAATGCCGCGCAGCCGGGCTTAGCATTACTTCGGGGATTGAGACAATGCTTAGTGGTAGTTTCCCATAATATGGGGACCCGAATATAGACACCAAAATAACATAGTCCGCATTACAGGGACCCCCAAAATGGTACCCCTAATTTTGGGAAACCCCCTAATGTCTGTCATGCAGTCAACGTGTTGCACCGCGGAGGCTGCAGGCCTTTAAGCCAATTCTGTTGTACCCTGGAAGGGGATAATTATAGGGGTTAATTATATAGGGGATACATTGGGATAATGGAAAAGAAAATGAAAACTACTGTTTTGTTTTTTTTGTCGGACCTTTTCTCCGCAGCCCGAAGGGCTACTATTTAAGGTTTTGGGTTCAGGGTTTAGGGTCTATTGTATTGTCGAACAGCGGGAAGCAGTGGTATCCCTACGAGATTGGAAGCAACCGTATTCAGGCGGACTTCCTACGCCGCAAGTGATGGAGATCTCGTACACACCTCTGAGGAACCTGTCCGCTGTAACTGTGAGAACTATTTTACCCGGATTACTATGATAACTATTATTGGCATTATTTCTATCATTACATGTTTGCCATTCTTACTATTCTTATTATTAATAATATCATTGTTATTGTTGGGCAGGCCTTCCTCCTGTACAGGTAGAGGTAGCCTCAGGTAGCGCTAGCAGGCATTGTTACGTGACACCTGCGCCAGACAATCAGAACCAGTTCGTGAAGGCCCAAGCCCAGATCCAGAGGCGGAGCTTCAGACTGTGCAACCTTCGGGCATGCACAGACTAGCAGCCAAGATTCCTACGCTGTAGCAGCCTACAAAACGTACACAAAGCTATGAAGCGGCCTTGCTGTCATCAAAGATGACCCATGAATTGCCTTCTCCTCTGCGCCTCATCTGCACCGCAAAATACAGCAACGCACAGCGTAACAACAGCAACACGCTGAAGGTGTATCAACACCTACGCCACTTTGAAAACACCAAGACACATGTGGCACACATAGTGTCCATGCGAAGTGTGCTTGCCGATGTGTGACACGAAGCCGACAAGCGAGTACCTACATCAACGTCTCGGCAAGTCTGGCCATGACAGTAGCAGGCTTTTACATCGCCTGTAGTACTTCCTCCAAGTAGAGTTAGAGCATATGTGCAAGTTGTAACCCAAATGCAAACATCAAGCATGCTGGCACTCTCCAATTCCATCATCATATTCTTTCAGCGTCGCCTTGCAGCTGGCTGCATGTTGATTTCCTCTCTTTGTAGAAAGGCATCAAGAATCTCCAGCAGTAGTAAGGTCTAGCGTCTGAGGCTTGTGCACTTGCGCCACCAGCACTCTGGCCGCCCAAGGAGGCGACAGCTGCATCCAAGTCGTCCGAGTGGGAGAACAACCTCAGCCGACAGGAGGACGAGGTAGGGCGGCACCAAGAATCTTACAAACTTTTTTCATGGTTTGGCACACGCAGAGTTGCACACAAACAAATGCACCCGGATGCCAGTCCGGCCACCAGGCATAAACACTGCATCGCAGCAGGTCAAAATCAGATACAGTACCTCGCCCCAGCGGGCGTATGGCCTGTGCTGTCGCAGTCCCTATCTAACCTCTTTTCAACTGGTACGTGGCCGCGTGGCGTCGGAAGTCTAAGCAAGAGCACATGATGAGGGCTGTCGTGTCGCGCCGTTCCAAGTGACTGCACCCTCCGCATGCTTTCCACACGCAGTCAAGCCAGAATCCCCGTGCTGGCTTTGCGCGCAAACCAACCTCTGCGGCCTCAATTTATGCAGCCGAGCTCGACCCCACCTCCTCCATATATCCACCCTTTAGAATGCATGACATTCATAGCTACATCCGTGCCTGATGCGTACAGTTCGAGGCCCAAGCCAATCTGCAGCTCTCTCCGCGCTATTCATACACCTTGACAATGCAAAAGGCATAAGGCAGCCAACACTATCTAATATTGGGATAATGGAAAAGAAAATGGAAACTACTTTAATGGGTTATATGGGGTATATTATTGGGGTTATATTATCCTACAAACACTACAATTGGGTGCTGGAAGGCTGAGATGATGGCGACCTCAGGGCCGCTTGTACGTGGTTCTGTGCAAAACCCATGGAGCACAGCATGGAAACTGCTTCTGGGTCTGGCCTCAGCTCTGGAGACTGTATATTGGGAATAGGGGAATGACCCCATATAAGGATAATGAAAAAGAAAATGGAAGTACTATAATGGGTTATATACGGCACATAAATTTTGAGGCAACTTTGGGAACTTACAGCTGGTTGCTGCAGGGAAACCTTGTGAGCAAGGCGCTAACTTGCAGCACATGCTTTGGTTTCCTGTCGACAACTTTGCGAACCCCCCACCCACCAAGGATAGAAGATTTGGGTGGCAAACGCGTCGCCGCTGCCGGCACCGCCAGCCCCTGCTCCTGCAATGCACATGTAGAGCGTCAAAAATGCCCCTTGCCGTTCTGCGTCAGTGAGCTGAACACTCGATGAGAAGCTGCGGTTTTTGCAGAGCACTTCTCTTCTCATGTGCTCACTCTATCATGTTCCTGACACTGGACGCGGCAGACTTTCCTGACCACAGGAATCTTGGTGATGATCTTGTAACTTTGGGCTTTGAGCATCTTAGAGCTGGCAGAGGTTCATTTCCAAACATTCACTCTCCATTTTTACACTGGGTGGAATTTCTCTAAGCTTTTTATGCTCCGCCATGCTCCGCCCAAGCACAACGTTGGAGTTCATGCAAGCTTGGGTGTGGAAGCCCCCGATTTCCCAACACTGGCATATCTAGAAGCAATATAGAGGATTGAGCAAAGTTCATGTAGGGTGATGCTCGAAGTCCCGCCACACTCTGCACACAAAAGTTCTTGCACGGTGTTTCTTCGGTCAGGCCACTGTTTGAATGCCAGTCGGGGCTGGGTTCAGCAACGCCGCTCTTAGTTCTAAGAGGAAAATCATGCAAGGTCAGAGCAGGGAACCACAGGACCAGGGGACAGAATTGAGGGACCAGGGCAGTCTTGACATAGAGCCGAGGCAGGGCCGACCTTACGCTTACGAAAAAAAAGATGCCCGAGAGCTCCTGCTCACAGAGTACACTGGGCCCTGCCTCATCCCTGCGCCAGCCCCACGCCTTCACCTGACCTTCAAGCTGCCTGCTCTGCAACACCTCTCCTGCTGGCGATGAGCCCACGGGGTTGTTGATGTCGGGATCAGTATTGTGCTCGAAGAACCTGCGCCCAGAAACTAGGAACGGCTAATTGCAATCAACCATTGCACCGAAACACAACGAGTTGTAGGGGCAGCGCCACGCAATCGCAGCTTCCGCACTGGAGTTGCCCACTGCCAAACTAGCACGTTTGGCCTGAATCGTGACAAGCCAAGGTAATTTGGTGTGTGTCTGACAGGTTTCGCTGAGCTGTTTGCCGCGTTCTCACCTATGTCCATGGACACCAGAGTAGCCTCAACGTACGCAGTTTGGCATCCACAAGCTGATCTGAAAACCTTCCCGGCGCAAGGGTCGTGAATCTTCGACACTTTGAATTTGACAAGCCTAGAACTTAAACCCTGTTGACAATCGCGCTCAGCGTTGCAAAGCTGATGTAAATTCGAGTTATCCCGGACCTGGCCCTCAGACAACCCTACAGCGATGAGGCACTCGCTGCAGCTTCTTCATCTCACGTCAACATACGTGAACCCCAAAATATAGACTGCTAGTGATTATCTGACTTGCATCGCAAGAAGACTGCTTTGGAAGCCAGCCGCAAACATCATCAAGTATGAGGCAACTGAGAAGCCGGCCACTATCATATCATCTGCTTGCGGTGCTGCCGCAGCTGGAGCGCCCCTGGAAGTGGTGGCAAAGGCTCTCTGAACTTCACTCTCCTACTTGACAAACTACTCTGAGCTGGTTGAAAACTGACCACAACTGCATTGCCGGCAATGCGCCAGTAAGCGCTCCAACCAGGCTCACGCCAGCTGAGCATTCAGCCGGCTAGAGCCTCTGCCCCTTCTTCCTCCCCTCCCACCGAGAATTCATCTCCAAACAGCCACCAGAAATGTTAGAAACCCTGACATGGGGCCACCCTCGGAGCCCTGAATGAAACTCAATCACTCGCGATTTTGTAGCGTTCTGGGTGCATGAAATTGTTGATAGGCATGGCATTGCCTTTTTGCCGCACAAGCAAAGCTAGTTGTGTTCGGCGGGCCCTTGACGTCCCAGGGGGAGTGGGAGCACGCGGCCACAGCAGGACTCGAATGCGGCAGGGACGGCTCAGGAGCCAGCTGCGGAGCATCATCTTCCTCGGGCACTGGCTCCTCTCCTTCCCACACCGGCAGTGTTCTGCATGTTGTGCTGTTTCACCGCAGTCACTTTCCATCTACCTTGAGCGCAGTTGCAACGTGGCAGACCTGGTTGAAGGCCTTTCCCGCGGAGATGCTCAAGATTCAGTGTGTCCGGCCTTGGGAAGCAATGCCACACTCTCCACACGTAGCCACGCATCAGTGTCCACCCTTCTGCAAACTCGGAATCCGAAAGACTCTGTTCTAGTCAGCTAAGCTTTGTCTGACATTCACCCAGGAATCGGACATATGCACCTGCCGCCAGCATTCGACAGGACAGTGTCTCTGTCAAGATGCATGGGCCCACGCCTTGCAGTCCAACTTGGCTGGGCACCACTTCTCGTCAACGTAATATCGTTGAAGCTGCACAAGCAGGTACCTGCAAGAGTGCGCGAGGAGCCTTCCCGGCCCTGCGATGCTGTCACGGCCTCGGCATGCTGGCCATCCTGGACCTTGGGCCAGTCCTATCCCAATGGACATCACATCATGTGGCTTCGTCCCTGAAATTCGCAAAAATCAAGACGCCAGAGGCAAAGTCTGTGACGGTGCTACTTGTGCCACAAGAATCCGTCTGACTCTGCCATCCCGGACACAAAACACTGACATACTCTGACCCAGGAACGTTTCGTCAAACCGATGGGGCTTCGACGTCTTCGAAGCAGCGCTGCCTCGAAACTGGACGCCCTCCTGAGGAAGGCGGCTTGAAAGATCCAGTGCCCTCTGTGCAACTCAAGCCCTTTCAGGGCTCCTCGGGGGCTCCAAATCTTGCCAAGCACGACCTTCAGCATGGCTGCAAGGCAAGGACTCAACTGCGGAAGATTAGCAGTAGCGGTAAATGTGACACGTAATTGATACATCAGAACCCTGTAATCTTGCAGTCAGTCCTGCGCCTAAGGGCAGCGCGACAAGGGTATCACGGGCTTGGGCTCTTCGGGCTCACCTTCCGCGGCTTACATCAGCAACCCCGAAAAGAAGCAGGTCGGATCCGTCACGAAGTAATCCAAGCCCTTTGTTTGCTGCCTTCTGTCTTGGGCTTCTTTGCCTCTTGCTCATCTTTGTCCTTCGCCGCTCTGAAGGCTGTTACCTGCTGGCTGTGATGTAGCAGATGCGAGAAGCTTTGTAACAAACGTCTTCAGGCCTTTAGGCCAGATAATGACTGACTCTGTTGGCTGGTGCGTTAGAGCTTCAGGCAAAAGTTAACAACGCCACCCAGCCTCTTGGAGGTTCTCAGCGTCATCTAGCTTAACCTACAAGGCAGCATGAGACAAAATGCTCTCTCGCATCTGATATCCAAAAATCCTCAGACAGGTCAGTTCAAAAGCTGAGGCGTCTTCGGGAAGACCAAGCATGTTTTGCGCGACCTTGCTATACCTGCGCAGGCGATGAGGCGCAAGGCTGCGGATATCAGAAAATGTGAGCTGCAGCCGGAATACTTCACTCTCTTCTGACCAGAACTTTCTTGCAGCCGCTCTTCTACCTGCATGCGGAAGAAACGTCTCTGCATCCTGGCAGAACCGACTTTTGCTCAATACTCGAAGGGCGTGCTGCAAAGTCGAAGAGGCCGCTGGTGGAGCCTGTCAGAATGAAAGAAGCAGCTCCTGCTTCATTTCCAACAAAAGCATTTGCAAGATTTTGAAAGGGCTCGACGATCTCCAGAGACCCGCGAGCCAAGAGCACTCCGCTCTGTGCGCGCCATCTGCTCCAGGAAGTACTGCCAGGAGACCCCGATGCTGCTGCCCAGTCATGAGTTGCAAAGGCTCCGGTGCCTGAACAAACTCCGCAGCGTCCTGTTGCCTATCCGAAAGACTCATACACAAATCTGCTGATGCTTCACACGTCAAGAAACTGTTCCTATGTTTGCAGACTTGCACCTCGCGGTGGAAAATTCCGCGTGCCCTCGCCCAATGAGCGAGCGGAACATCTGGCAGCTTTGCAGAAGATCCAGAAGATCTGCACAAATTAAAATTTTACCTTGTTTACCTGACCATACCCGGCCTGCGGCGCGATGGAGTATCTGGGATCTTCCTCATCATCCCCATCCTTCCTTTGGACAGAGTCTAAATAAACTCCTTAAAGGAGGATTATATAGGGGATTATGTAGGGGACCACACTGGGACTACTGTACAGGGGTTATTCAGGGGGATACTAGGAGTTTAGGCTTGCAGGCGGTAGCTGACATCCTTTCTGCTGCGGCTGCTACGGCTCTACATCACGTCACTAAGCTGCAGGCAGGGGTGGTGCGTACCGCGGGCCGTTCAGGCCACTGACGAGCTTGGCCACCTTGTGGCATCTTCATTTGCTCCCCTCAATTTGACTCAACCAGGATTTCAGAGGAATCCAAAGCACCCCTGGACCAAGAGTCTGCCTGGCTGAGCAGATCATTCTGCACTTCCGCTGGTGCAGACTTCCGGATCTGACACAAATTAAGCAAAGGCAAAGCCAAAAGCTGGTTGACGAAAACTCTCCGCCTGCAGTTCCGCATCGAGGTAGCGCTGCTTCACTTCAGGCAGAGCCTGACTTAGCCAGGTCCTTTATGTCTGTGCAATTGAAGCCTGTTGCAGGCACGACTTTCCTGAGGTGGCAGCGAGCAGAAGCTGGATCGATGAATTCATGTAGCAGGATTGCCTGGAGTTTGCCACCAGCTGTGGGGAAGCTTCGAGCGCTGCAATTCACCAGTGTGGCAGAGTCGGAACCAAACCATCAAGGGAACAAAGGCCCGAACCCAAGGTTCTTCAGACCAACAAGACCTGGCCCTCGCAGACGCACCTTGATTCCAATTGTGCTTAGACTTGTCAATCCTGTGTGCCAAGGGTTTTCCGAGTCCGCCACAAGGGGCTTGTCACCGGACTCGCAAATTTTGGACCAATCATAGTTGAGATTGAGATCCACCTGCCCAAGACTGCTCATGGCTTGCTTCTTTTGCTCTGAAGCCGAGCAATGTGCTGTATCTTGCTGCGAGGCCTGCATTTCAGCCAGTGTTTTGTCCGTTTTCTCCATCCTTGGCTTGAGAGTTTTGCGCCAACGCCACCCTGCCAGCTTTCGAGATCCGTTTCAGTTTGGCAGGTCTGCTTGATGCAAGCACATCAGAATAGACTCAGAAGACTTCACTTCACGTAGATGGGCTTGTCATGGAAGAGGGTTTCAACAGACAGCGCGCACGTAGCTTCGGAGGACTAGAGCCGACTGCTGACACTGCCCCGGGCGTCATGCTCCTACTCGTTGTGCATATGCAGAAGAAGGTAAACACAGCCTCTTCTTTCGGCAAGGTTGTTTTTGACAGTTCCGCCTCATACAAGCTGTCCAATCTAAACAGCCCTACAATTTAATGTCTATAGCTCAACTCAAAGGATTCCCATTTAACAAGCTATTTGCTCTGCGATCATAACATGCACCTGATGCAAGCGCCCCTCGCTGCATGCCAAGTCTCTTCATGACGTCAATACCCCAGTGCTCGAGATGCTTTGCAAGCAATGGGTCCTCATGCAAAAGGTTGGCTATCGCTTTCTACCGACCCTTCCCAACCTCTAGGGCATTGGGCACGCATGCAGGCAGCTCCTTCACCATTTTGTCTTCATCGGGCGCATAGGAATACACGTCCGCGCCTGCAAGCTGAAGATTCATTGATGCTCAGTTTAGGGTTTAGGGTACCCAATAATGGAGAATCAAATGGAAAAGAAAATGGAAAATGAAATGGAAGCTGGGATTATATTGGGGTTATATTATAAGCCTGTCTAGCATGACTCATCCATCTTTGGCTGCTTTGGGGGGGTACTCTAAGATGTCGTGCGATCGCACAGCCTGCAGGCGTGATTGTTCCAAGCTTCACAACCTCAAAAAGCCAACTCAAAAAGCCAGTCGCTTGTTTCGTGAAACTCCTAAACCCTAAATGGTAGTTTCCATGTTCCATTATTCCTATATATTCTATATACCCCTATATAATCCCTATATGAAATCCTTATATATTTCCCATATACCCCTGATATATCCCCTACATAGCCAGTTGCTTACCTTTACCTTGGCCTGATTGCAACTTTTGAGGCCGGGGCAAGCGGGTAAAAGTTACCCTTTGCGTTTTCCTGCCGGCTCTCAGCCCAATCTATTGATGCAAACTCACTCTATATACTTAGGGTTTAGGATTTATAGGGTTAGGGTGTATGGATGCGACCACAGATTCCTCCAAGTTTCCGGAGGTACCTTACAGTACATACCTTGACATTTCACGAGCACCGGTGGCGGTTTCCTTCCAGAAAATATTGTTTTCGGCCTGTCGCCTGCTGCGCTGAGCCGTAGCGCTTAAAGCTGCTCCACCCCGGCTGACGTGAGATCAACACCAACTGGGCCAAACAAAGACCTCATGACCTAGCATACGGCGCACCACTGATCCACGCGAACTGCGTATCTGCTTAGGCCTATCTTGCATCAGGCCGTCCTCTGTGAAATGGTCCAGGGCCCCATTGCTACCACCGGAGCCATCCCAGAACTTGCGGCCACCTCCAATGAACCTTAGGGACGTGTTTCAGGGCTTGGGTGTATGGAAGCTTCGGACCTTCAAGAGCTATGCCCCAAGCCCGTCCGAAAGATTCAGCCAAAGGTTTTGTGTATCGCCGCTCTTTTCGCACCTGGGCCAACATGCAAAACAGCTTCTGCAGTCTAATTTTGCAAATGTCAAGCCCGTGCGTCGAAGTTATGCAGGCTGCAGGCTTAGGCCTAGACTGCCAGTCCTAGCGCTCATGTCTCTACAGGCAACTCAGGTTTCTTGCGTCCTTTTGACATCCCACCTCCACTGCGGGCGCACAGCACGGCATAGCAAATAAGCAAGGTCCTTGGGGTTGGGGCTGATCTTCTTCGATGCCGGCAACTGCACCAAGTCCTGCCACAACCATGGAACAGGCACAACACAGAGCAGGCTAATGGTGTCCCATCAGGTTGGATGATATGCCCTTGCCTTGTAGTACTTAGACTCGGTCACTTCCTCAGAACTTCTGCGACATGGAGGTTTGCAGAATGTCGACTTCATGCGACTCGGGGTCAGACGTCATCTTCCCACTGGGCCACAGCATCCATGGATTTTGCTCCCTGGTCAGCACGCTGCGCGGCATTAAGGTTTACAGGGTGCTAAGTGGAAAACCCAAAATGCTGCTCCGTCTACAGCGAATCGTGTTTTGCTGTCCCTGTTGGCAAGAGAGAGATCAAAAGAGTCTCTGTGCATGGACTCATGCCACTTCGCGACCTCGTGCCCCTCATCTATACAGCCCTCATCTATACAGAATAAGCTGTCTTGTGAGCAGTCTTCCGACAACTTGAAAGAGGTTGGGGCATCTATTGCTCAAATCAACTTTGGTACAAAGACTCCTCACCCGGGCAGCTGTGCATGTGCACTGCATGTTTATGCAACCACTTGCATTCTCTTAAAACGATCGTACGCTGGGACCCACCAGAGCTCTCCTAGAAGAGAACCCTAGCATTCTTTACAAACATTGAGATGTTGAAGCACTGAAACTGAAGCGCTTCATGCTGTGTTTCTGCTTCATCGTACTTTACACCCGGCAGGTTGGCTCGTACGGCTCGTTCACTTCGGAATGCTGTCGAAGATCGTAGAGCCACCGCTCCGGCTAGTCTTGAGGACATGTGGCCATGCAGCCACTACCTTAGACTAAAGGCTCCGAGGGCTCAAGTGATCCCATCACGTTCCATCCTTTCTCGAGATTTTGCTATGCCAGGTGCCCGCCATCCAAGCAAAAGCAAACTGAGGAGTCAGCGGCCATTGCAGCCATAGGCAGAGAAGCCAGGACCCATCCAAAAGGAATGGTCCAGCTGGGGAAGAAACCCGCTCCTGATTTGCTTCTCAGCATGCGCCTCAAGGCCTGTTCCTCTGGCTGAGCTATGACCCTGCATTACCCTGCCTTGCGGAAAGGGCTTTGACGCATGCGCGTCCATGACGTCCAGCTTGCCAAAGGGCGGCGTGATGCTCAGGATCACCAGCAACAGACACAGCCCGGGACAAATCCATCCCCAAATCACCTGAGAAGGCTCAGAAAGCCCTTTGAACAAATTCCTTGAGATGATTTCTACACCTCAGACCTTGTAGAGGTGTCCCAGGTGGCGACCAGTCTCCTCCATACAAAGGGTCTTGAAGTGTTCCCAAGTCTTCCCCTGGCGAGTCCAGAGCCTCGGAGTCACCAGAAGACTAACTGAAAAAGGGGAAAAAACACTGTATATAGGGCAATGTATGGGCGTTTTAGGTGCTCCTACAGGGTATTATAGGGGATTACATGAGGATTACATGGGATTATACAAGGATTCTAGGGGGTTATAGAGGATGCTAGTTGTATCATTGTGGTTCGTGAGGCGATCTCCCATGCCGTATGTTTATTCCATTCGCTGCAGCCTCGCTACAGGCCGACGCACTCCAAGCATCCCACTGCAAACATGACATAGATGCTGCAATAATTGTCGAACCTCCGCTGCGCGCTTCTTCATACTGTCTCCCTGTTGTCGTTGACACGGAACGGCTATTGGCTCGAAGCTACGAGATAGCAGCGAATCTTTAGATGCTGCAGGTACTGGGGGTTGAGAGCTGTAATGAAGTCCCCTACTGAATCAATCAGCCCGGCAGACAGCTTTTCAGAACCTTCAGCATAGTCTCGACCAGGCTGGGGCTGTGGCAAATCCAAGAAATAGATCCCAGCTCTGGACACGAAGACCAAGCCCAACAAGTAAGAAACCAGGCATATCAGTCCTTCAGTAGACAGAATGAGGCAACATGTGTGTTGTTCCTTCTCACACCGCTCCTGACAATGCTGGACGTGACAGTCGCTCTCCCCAACCAGCATCAGCAAGGACGGTGGCCAACGTTTCAATGTAGGCAAATTGCGAGTCAATCCCGAGCAACAGCATCATGAAGAAGAAGAGTATTGCCTCAAGTCTGCGCGGTAAGAGATATTTCAAGATCCAGCGGCTCATACGCCCTTTACGGCTAACAGACATGATAATATAGGGCCGGAACTTCAGAAGTCGGCTGCGCCAAGTTGCAAAGAAAAAGCTTCCAGGCATCTGCGACACTGCTATTGGAAAAGCAACAAAGGCAAGTCCTCATCAGGCACTTTCCATTTTGAACCAGTTTATTGGATCTCTGATCCTGTGATTCCTTCGATTCTTACATCAGGCTTCGACAGTACATCCTTAATAAGCCCTATAATGATTCCCTATATTATCCCCTATATAACCCCCCTGTAAGGAGTTTAGGCTATAAAGCTCACTTGGGATGCCTACAAGCTGTCAACCGAAGTCCTGTCCCAGACAAGCCGATGCTCTTCAGGCCGTCAAAGTTATCTGCAGAGATGCACGGGTCTGTCCTAAGTCATGGCAACAACAGCAATAATACTGACAGTAACAATGATAGTAACAGTTGTAACAATGACAGTAATGACGGTAATATTAACAACAAAAATGACGATGATGGTGATGATGCTGATGATGACAATAGGAATCTTGTGTAATACTAATGATGATAATACCAATATTATACCAAACTACTATATGGTAATACTAATTAGTAGTAGTGAAGACAGTACAATGACTACTACTTTGCCAGGCCAGGACACACTCATTACAAAGCACCACTCTTACTCATCGTTGATGCTACAATGCTGGTCTTCTTATTATGTCTTCTTTCTATATCTTCCCTAAATAGGGGGACCCCAATATAGACACCAAAATACTATAGTCCTTATCATGGGGACCCCCAAAAAGGTACCCCTAATTTTGGGAACCCCCCCATGTAATTGGATGCAATCAGTACATCAGCTAGCCAAGCGGAGCCTTAACAAGTCTTTCCTTGAAGCACCCAGTGGCTGGTGCAACTCCTGCGCCAAGAAACCCAACACGGGAAACACTACGCAACCAGCCAGGATAGAGGTGCCACAGTTCGTGATCGCAACCTGAGGGTTGGCCACTCCCATTGCGCAGCATAGCTCTTCAAAGTACCGATGCCTGATTACAAAGTGCCAGCACCGCCAAGGACAATGATCTTCGCGTTCTCATAACAGCAACGGCAATGATAAACATGACCGCCAGAATCAGAATACACAGAATCACCACCATCACCATCATCATCATCATCATCGTCATCATCAGACCATCGGCGATGCTTCCATGATCTTTTTGCATGTCTACACAACTACAGCAATAATACTGAAGCAACAACCATCCACCGATCCCTGGCAGGTTGGCGCCTGAGGTCGAGCAACGATCGTCGTGGCACGCCCTACCCGTTCTGCCTGCATCCTCCCTGACCTCTCAAGATAACCCTACACCCACCCTAAACCCTAAACCCCTAAACCCCTAAACCCAACCTTCCCGGTGGCCTTGCCATCCTATCATGGCTTACTTGCCTGGGTGGTACTTTAATGGCCGCCCAGATCACTTTATGAAAAGGCTCCTTAATCTTATGGTCTAACTCCACAAAGGGGGTTCTATAGGGGATTCTACAGGGGACTGTCAATAATCGGGCTTATTAGAGGGGACGCTGTGCCAGCCAGTTGCCCTTCGCACTCCTTCCATCTGCGTCCAGCTCCCCCACCGCCCTGCTTTTGCTTCCCCGCCAGTTTTCTAGCTCCCGACCGCTCCTCTCCAAAGATTCTCCCGACAATCACGTGTACATGTATATGCGTCTTCTGCCCTCACCGGCAGGATGCCGCAAGGCCCTCAACAACAATAACCAAGAGAGTGATGTTACAGTCAATTCTGCCTCAGTAGATGTATAGCTGATGGCAACCGGCAGTACAAGAAGCCAACTTGATCTTGTAGCGTCTATACCAGCCCGAGCAACTGATGTGGCATCACGAACAAAGTTGCCATCTTTCCTCCCGTAGGAGCCGAAAGCAACGATGGAACCGTAGCCGACGCCCAAGGAGAAAAAGATCTGAACGGCTGCATGGATCCAGACTTGAGGGTCTGCCAGGTGGCTGAAATCCTTGGATCCAGTGTTTTAAGCATTCATATCAGGAGCTCTGGCCAAATTTCAGCGGATGAGTATCCAGAATGATCCAGCCATTCCGAGATGCTGCTTCGAAGAAAAACTTCAAGCCAGCAAATGCGTTCGGCAATGTCAGTGCACGTACCTGACTTTCCGCTCGGCAGGAATGCCAAGTAACAAGTCTGAGGGTCCAGGAGCCAAGTGCCAAGAGCCCTTGTTATCGCTCATGAGTAATCACTTGGGCAGTGACGGCTAAAACCCTGCGGCTGTTCCACTTCTTTCTTCCGTGTTGCCAAGAAAATTACCAAGCATAGGTATGGCAGCGTGGCCGTGACGTAAACAGCCTTTCCGGAGCTCTTCACGCCCTTGAAAACCTTAGGCTTTCAAGCTAGGGTTTAGGGTTTAGGGATTGACACTGCGTGGGGACTTGGCCGAAGCACAAATGCATGGGAAGCCGAGTTTAATATCGAACTTGCGTTAGTCGGCTCGAATTTGGGACTTGACAATTGCCGAGGAACGATCAGCCAAATCACAAGCCATGCAATGGTCAGGGAGACTACCAGACCAGGATTCAAGCCTGCGCAGCATGCTTGGAAAAATGATGCTCGTGATGTGGATTGCTGGAGGGCTTCATACTAGCAGATGATGATAGCATCTGCTTTAGCTGAATGCAATGGCCCAATACCTTCAGCCCTGAGGCACCTCCGAACTCATCCAATCCGCTGCTTTGATTCAAAGCTTGCTCTTCCCAGAAGATCTTCGCCATTCGTGCTGGCCAGGGCTTGTGACTTGCGTCTTCAATGTGGGGTCAAGTTCACACATTTTGTCGCCTTGCCTGGACACCTGGTGGGCTGCAGCGTCCTCCTGAGCGCGGGATAGGAAGGCAAGCTGCTGACAAAACGAAGGAAAGAGAACGGAAGCACTACGCAAACTGCAAGCCATGGCACAGGACGTAGTCCGCAGGTGGCAGATCACCAGTCTTCGCCGGACACCAAGTGCTTGCAACCAAGGTCGTGTTCAGCAGCCCCGTGACGCTATCGACCAAGTAGTCGCTGTCTGCCACTGTCTGGCAAGAAAACACAGGCGCACGAGCCAGCCCATACAATGTCGTGAAAATGGGCATACATCACACGCGACCTTGTGCAGGTAGATGTCTTTGCTGGGGCAACTGACTCCGGGAGCCAGATCACTCCAGGGCAAGTAGCCAGATGGCAAGGCAGCAATGGTCCTCTCAACTCGAGCGCATAGCAAGGTGACTGCACTGCCCTGCCTTAGGCGGCACAAGAACCCATGACCGATGCCGCGCGAGCAACAGTCAACATCTCTTGCATGGGCAATGTTTCGGGTACTTCACATCATATGGCATTCCGTGTCTTAACGACAGGACTAGATTCAGCTTGCTACCACGAGGAGAACTACTATGTCCAAACTGAAGTAGTGATATGTCTCCTTGGTAACCACAATGTTGACTGTAGCAACCCAGTCCTTCCCAAGTAGTAGATCGTCCATGCGAGGATGACGATGTAGTACAACCCCACAAGGTATGTGCACATCATGGCTGCCAACCCTGGGCAGGGCTGACTCACGACTCATGACAACAAAAATCCTTAGTTGGAGAAACCTCAAATGTCGTCCGCCTACACCTTGCCAGCGTGGCAAGCCCAGCTTGGTCCACATTCCCCTGGCAGTGTCAAACACGACAAGCATGCAACGTTGGAAGAGGTTTTCAAGCCCAAAGGCTCCATGTAGCTACATAGTATCTACTTAGGGCCCAAAGGAGTTCCCATAAGGAGTTCCCATATAACTACATTAATCATTAGGGCCCAAGTATATACCATACAGCTACATGGGGCCTTTCTGAAATGAGGCAAGGAGACAGTGTGCCACGACGAGTCAGCTGCCCGAGTCCCAATTCTAGTACAAAAAGTGGTATTCCCAGCAGCGCCAAGCTCAGCCCGTAGGGAATCAGGAACGCACCTGACACTGAACACAATCAGCAAGTGAGAAGTGAGGGGAGGGATCCCTGTGAGGGTCTATAAGGTTCTATTGTGTTCTAGGGGGTAATATGGAGCAAGACGGGATATGGGCTTATATATACTGTATCATATGATTTGCCCCCGCAAAGGGGTCACGGAGGCAATGCCTTGAGCTGGCTGGTCCGCGGTCCACCATGCAAGCGCACAAATGCTGCTGAAATAGAGAAGTAAATAAAACTATTCATTATAATTGTTATCGTCATTATAACCATTATTATAAAGAGTTATAGGTTCATTCATAGTCACGTCAGCAACCCTTGAAAGTGTACTAGCCATAAAATATCTCGCTTCTTCATCTCTTCATATTCTAGCAGCTTCGCTCACCTCTCAGAGGCAAGCCACGAACACGGCTCATGGTCTGCTGCAATTTGTGGGAGGAAAGGTACTCACAATTTTGCTTTCTTTGCGACAGTGCTGCGCCAGTGCATCCAAAACGCGCAGCTAGCTCAGTTCGTTCAGAGTCTACTTCAAATTACTTGACATCAGGTCCCCTTGCAGCAAGGCTGCGCCAGGGCATCAGGAAGCATGGCCTGTTGACCTCGCCTAGATTCTTGCGCCAGAGCCATATGTATGTGGCTGGCACAAGATTCGGGTTGTGGGCATGGATGCTCTGGCGATTGGATGCTCTGGTGATCGGATGCTCTTGGAACACAAAGGTTATTATGGTTTGGGCATGGATGCTCTGGTGCTCGGATGCTCTTGGAACACGAATGTTACGATCATTTGGGCATAGATGCTCTGGTGACCGTATGCCCTTGGAGCGCGAACGTTGTTATGGTTTGGGCATGGATGCTGCGGAGCCAAGCGTCTACGAAACACCCTAATCCTGGCTTGCTTGGGTCAACGGAGGAGGCAAGAAAGCCTGCAAGAGATACTAAAGCGCGCGAGATCACCAGGCGATCTGAGCGCGCGTCACCAGCTACAAACCTCCGGCATCTGGATGCTGCCATGCAAAAATTCTACACTTATAGGTTGCAGCAGCCGAGGAAGGAGTTGACTGATGCAAATTAAAAAAGTTCCAATTCAACAACACCCGCTGACTGGTCATCAACTTGGGCGTTGCATGTGGTCCCCGCATCTCTGGGCCGCGATTTGCTTCTTGGAGAACTGAGATAGACTTTAATCGCTATTCTCGACCTCATTTACGTTATACACACAGAGACTTATCTCTCTGCTTGGCTTTGCTATGGGGAGTGACGGAGTAACCCTCACCAGGCCTAAAGGCACTCCCCAGGCGCTCAAGTCACGAGTCTGGTTAGCGAGAAATTTAGGGTTGCAGAGGGCTCTAAACCCTGAACCCTTAACCGTAGACCTATCCTTCCGAAAAGACCAGCTTCGCCTCCACCGTAGGTGTATGCCAGGTACGGGAAACGCCATACGTTTCCGACTCCCACCTCAAGTGCACACAATGCGCCACGTACACACCCAAGGCCTGAAGACTTACCCTTAATTTGGTTAGCTGGGAATGAAGGAATGGAGAAGCAAATGGAAACTACTATGATATGTGATTGTAGAGACTACTATATAGGGGCCCATTCCTTCATGCCTACCTAACCAAAGGTAAGAAGAATGATACGTTGTGCGTTTCTATTGCGGTCTGCGCGCGGCGTAGCCCACCAAAGTCAAGATGAGTTCTGCCTGGGAATTTTGAAGCTCAAGTATGGCAACACCAACATAAATTCAAAAGCAGACTACTGGAAATGAACGAGACTTGCTACACCAAGATTTGCAAATTCGCCCAACACTGCTGAATCTTTTCTTGGGCTCAGCGCCTGGTTTGCAAAGGCGATCCTTTCCACGGGTTGGGCGGAGGAACTTGAACCAGTGGTGCCAGTCGCAGCAGCGACAGCAGGCGCGACTCCAGAAATTTCTGCCATTGCTGACAAGAACCGGAGCCCCCGGGAAGTACGAAGCTTGAGCACAATGAGACAGCCGCGCAAGAGTTCGCAAACCTCTGTCCTTGTAGCTCCGTCAAGGCTTCTTCCACATGTTCTGCCGTCCATGTGACGGAGGATGTTCACTCAATGCTGCTTGTGAACACGAGTGCAATTCACGAATCTGGCCTGGTGTGCGATTATGGCCTCACAGACATTTGAGACTATCATCGGCAGCTCTTCGCCTTGCCACGAGTTGAAGCTACAGGTGTTTCGGACAGGTATCAGCAGCTGTAAGCTCTTCACTAGGATAAGGCAGAGTTGTGCGCTCACCCGTTGAAGAGCCGACGAGCAAAGAATACTCCTCGACAAGGTGCCGATGGCAGCAGTACGGACTGCACCCCGACATGTTGAGAAAGGCGGGATGTCCTTGATGGTCTCATACTTGTCGTCCGGCAGGAACCCGCCTTCGACCTGAGGCAAATCGATTCTACTGGGCACTGCTCAAACCTCCGCAAGAAACCAAGTTCAGTGCCCCGATGGCCAGTTTGGTCGGATCTTGCTGTGTATCTTGCAGCCGGGGCTTGCTTTATCATACTCATGGCAGAATCGCAACAATGAACGGGCAAATACTGGCTGCAACCAGATCCATCCTTTGCCTTACCTCTGGTTAGCCAGGAATGAAGGAATGGATCCTCATAGTAGTCCCTATATAACTTTACATAGCTCATTACAATAGTTTCTATTTTCTTTTCCATTACTTCTAAGCCCTAAACCCTGAATAACACCATTACAGTGTTTTTTCCATTCTTTCATTCCAAGCTAACCCAAGGGCCAGTTGCCTGGCTTCTCCTTCTCTTGCCGCCGAAACTTCTGCAGCAGATACAAGCAACCTCCCCGCAGCAAAGAAGCCTAGGGTTTAGGGTTTAATGTAGTTCCTCAAAATTAGGGGTACCCTTTCAGGGGGATATGGGGGTTGTATAGGAGTATGCAGGGATATATGGGGAAATATAGGATTTATAGGGTTCCGGGTTGCCGAAAATAAAGGGTACTCCTTCTGGAGGGTCCCCATAAAAAGGATTATAGTATTTTGGATGTCTGTATTGGGCTCCCCCCATTTTGCGAAACTACTAAATGAAGTACAAGATCAAACGCAAGACGCAGCTTCACGGGTGCCTTTGCTTTGTGATCTTGCAATGTCGAGCTCGACCATGTCTGGCCAGGGGTAATGTCAAACCCGTTAATCCAATTGAGAGCAGCGCTGAACCCTAAGCCCCTAAACCCCTAAACCAAGACCTGCAGCGATGCTCCTAGCTGCTCCACGGCTGTAATTGCGTTCCCTGAGAATGAAACGCATCCCTCCCCTCCCCCCGCCTAGTCGTGAATAATCACTACTTGGACAAAGGATACATGAATCATATGTACCAGTAGGAGTAATAGTAGTAATAATACTAGTTGGACAAGGGATACAAGAATCATACCGGGTAGACTAAGTGAGAGCATATACGGAGGCTTCGCATTGGTCTGTGAAAGCAAGCATTGTCTCATGAGCATCTCCAGGGCCCCCCGCGCACCTGTAAATCTCTGTTGTACTACACGAGGGATCCCAACAGTTGTCCATGGCCCCAGAGGCTTTTGTTGGTAAACAGGAACTATCGCCAGCTCCAAGGCCCTAGCTTTTGTGACAGCCTCACTCCGACCCGACGGAAGCAGCCGGCACTGAAGGAGGCCATGAACACCAATAAATCGTCCAAATAGGCCTTCTGAACTCATTTGCCTGGGGTGGTCTAACAAAACCATTGCCATGCCTGCAGCTACACCCTGCCACGTCCGCAGGTTCACCTTTCAAGAGAGTCACACAGCTTTAGCGAACTGTTGATCTTGTTTGGAGCGCGCAGAACACTGTAAGAGGTCTTACCTACACACACCTAAATGCTGATGCCGCAGACCTCTGCGGACACAAGATTCATGATACGCTTCTTGCGCAGCACGTTTCACACTAGTTAGGGCATTCGCTGAAATCAGCAGCTAGCATGATATGCATCTCTCTCATGGGATGGGATGCTCACTGCCAGACCACCCTCCGAGAAGGGAGTATCCTCAGTTCTCGATACCATTTCTCTCACACCATTCTTCACATTTGTCAGGTTTGCAGTACTGCTATAGATGCAACACTGGATCACTGTATGCATCAGCCGAACTAGGACCAACTGAAGGGGAATGCAAGGAGGCTGGTGACCAGCGGGTGTGCGCAAGCGGTCTGAGTCAAAGGCGCACGTATATACACATTCATCCTTGAAAACCTGAGCATTTGCAGTCAGCAGGAACATGCCCTTGCGAAGCCATGTTACCCCGCCATTGTCAACCAGGACTCGCACCTTGTCGTAGTGCTGTGGCGCCTCCAGGCATGTCTTGGAAGACGGCATTTGAGCCATCTTCTGAAACGGGTCTTTGGCATGGGGTTATCGTTTCTGTGCATTTGCTATAGCGTTTCACAATGCAACGGCTTTCCAAGAATGAAGTTTCATTGCTTCGTCACATAGCTGTAGTACTGGAGTCGGCGTTCCCGTGCATTGCTGTGTACAGTAGTACAGGTTTGGCACTGGAATCGAAATTTCCGTGAGGCAGCTGTGTTTTCGTTGCTTCGTAGTACAGCTTTAGTACTGAAATCAAAGTTTCCGTGAGCCGGCTGGAATTGTCTTGTAGTACGGGTTTAGTGCTGACATCAACGTTTCTGTGACGCTGTGAAGGATGATGATGATGATGACGACGACGACAAAAAATGGGGTATCGTTTTTGGGATTTCACTATAATATATCGTGTTGCAATGCTTTACACATCAGTCGCCAACCTCCACACACTCCTCAAACTTTAAACTAATTTCCCGGCCCCCACCAGAGTACGGGGGTTCTTGCTCATGTGCAACACCCATCGCCAGCCTTAAGGCCAGCCATCAGCGCACGAACTGTCTCCATGGCCTTTCAAGGATTGAGCGTGCACGAGCAGATTACAGAACAGGACAGCTTGCACAAAAGATTGACCTCAGGTTGCAACCTTCTACTGGAGCGAGCCGGGCAGCTACAGATGAATGGACAAATACAAAATCTTGCAAAACAGCTGGGCCGAGGCCGAGGTGCTCTGTCAGTAGAAGTTTAGGGAGGTTTGCACCTGCTCACGAGGCCGCTTGTAAGGTTGACTTCTTTTTTGGAGGCCACGCCTTGCTTTAGAGCAAAAGCTTGCAGCAAGTTGCCGTTCCAAACTGCAGCTGCAGTTGTGCAAGAGTGGCATGTGTAATACAAGTGCGCTGGTTTCAAGCTGAAAAGTATCAAAGGTTCGAGCGGGGTTCGCCTCTTTGGGCGACTAGAAGCATGGGTCGACCAAAGGGACCCATGCAAGTGGCCCCCATGATTTGGACGGGCTTTCGTTAACTGCACCTCACAGGTGGAGGCAGCTGCGATCTACCAAGCCAAGCTGAAGATCGTACTGCAGAGAACACATGCAGTCGCAGTTCGACAGCTGTGCCGCAGAAAAGGAAGGTCTATGACGTCCCATCCATGATCACTCTCGGAGGTACCACTTCTGCTCCGCGCAGTGCCTTAGCCCCGTTGGCCTGTTGTACGACACAACGAGCTATCGGGAATCTGAATAGAGTAATGCTGTTGCCACAACACCCCCGTCTTGGTGACGCTACATCAGCTCTCACGAGCAACACAACGTAAAATCTTGTGCAACGCAGGTTCGATTCCGAGCTTCAGGAGGCTCATGCGGGGCTTACATTTCCCATCTTGTTCTAGCCTACATATCTACATGAATTCTTTTTAAACGAAGCCCAGACCCATCATACCCCAGAGTAGATATTCGCCAGCCTTTGCCCTGACAGGCCCTGCCATGTTTGGCCTGACGAAGCAGTTCTCAGCAGCCAAGAGCATTGGAGCTTTGCTCTGCAGACAAGGTTGCAGACGCCGTTGGCTGGCCCAGCTGTGTAGTGAGGTTGGAGATGTCGGCACAAGTGCTGCTGAGGTGATGGACCATGTCCTCTGAGGCAATCCAGGCTTGGGTTTGCTAAGTGCTGGCACAGCTGAGCCCCAGACCCGCAGTCTCTGCAACTGCTCACAAGTGGTGTTGATGGCCTTGCGCTGCGTGTGCTGCCTCTTCTCGAGCTCCTGCCCAAATCCGTGGATCTATCCCAAGCCCCCCTGCTTGCAAGCATCAGTTGACTGAGGTTTATGCGCCCCCCGCCCCCACCTGCATGACAGGCAAGCTCAGCCTTTTCAAACCCTCTCACCCTGAACCTTCCAAAACCGCCTTACAATCAGGCACGCAGTGACAGTGCCTGCATCTCCTCCCCCAGGATTGCAGCAATTCCGTCGGCCATCTCCTTGTGGTTTGCAAAACCCAAAAGGCCAAAAGGCAGTCAAGCAAATCTGTGGTGGCAAGAGGAAGCCTGCAATTGGCAGAGAACATGCGCATTGTTGTGGACATGTAATCTGCTTCCTATTTCTGACTATCTACTGTTTGCCACTTAGTTGTCAGTAAAGCCCGCAGCTGGGCACCGAGGTTTGGACAGTGGAATGATCCCGAGCGAGGGCCTTGACCTTCTCCAGCGCCTGAGACTTTTCTTCGCGAACTCCCTTCTGTCCGCGAGCATAATTCCATGCCCTATGATGTTCCACGGACAGCTGTCGCCACTCAATGTCAACACGGCTTGATCACTAGAAGCTTAGTAGCACGTGGCACATGGGGCTAGATTTCAGATGAACTGCAGCCATCCCATCGCGACCATTTACAGGAAGGTCTTGGCTTGAGAGGCTCAATGGCCTGCTCCGCACTGTTCTCGTACGTCTCGACATCCGTTGGTGCGCCCTGGATGCATGGCTGCGGCTTCCTTTAAAATAATCTGCATGCATGAGTGTCTGCACAATGCATGTATACAGGTGAACGACATGCACATTGAACGATATATGCCCATATTTACATCTGCCGCAGGTGTGATCCCCTCTGCCAGCCTCAAAGTCGCCTAGCGGAAGACCTGATTTGAAGACACGTTCTCTTGCTGGGCTGTGGGACGGTATGTGTATGACATCGCATCTTCGTCACAACCTGTGCCGCTAGGGCCCTGTCTTAGCGTGGTCAGGGCTTTCTCAAATCCACCAGTGTCGCGGCCCTCAGCTTTGGCGAGATCCTGGCACTCGAAAAATGGGACCATCAGAGCCTGAAGAGCTGATGCAGTAGTATATTGTGTTATATAGGGGTTATAGAGGGGTTATACTGAGTTCTATAAGGGTTATATAAGGTTATATATGGGGACAGTGGAAAATCACATGGAAGCGACTATCATAGGGATTATATAAGCCCAACCTGATATTGTCGGATCTTCTCGCTCAAGTAGGTGGCACACAGCGCCTTGCAAGCCATCAGAAGTAGCCTCAACTCCTAGAGTCCCTCTTAATAACCTCTATAATACTCCCCTGTATAACCCCCCTTAAGGAGTTTAGTCTATATGTATATATATATAGATATATATCTCATCTGGCATCCAGGTGCCCTGCCGAGTAGTCGAGGCGAGTCACCATACTTGTCAGGCCGACCTTTGCCCCAGTTATTCGTTGGGTAATATCAAGGGTGTCCCCACCAACATGGGGAGGTACCTTTTAAGGGTTACAGGGCTTCTATAGGGTTTAGCCCCAAACTCTGCTCTTTTGACTCTAGATCAGCAACGATAGCATGGGCCTTGAAGTCTTGAAGCTCAAAGGCTGGATCCACCTTCCTGCGCGCTTCGAGCATTGAATGCCTAGCCTGCATTTAAGGACCATAGACCTTTGCTACAAGTCAGGCAGTCTTGTCGTAGTCGGTCTGAGAGTTCTTCAGGGTGCGGAGGGCTTGCGAAGCCGGGATGCCTTCTACGATGTCTCGCAGGTACCTGCACACCGCGCGTGATGTAGCAGTGTTCTAGTGTCAAGTCGCATGAGGAAGCCTTGTGGCAAGATCTCTTCAGCTGCATGACGAAGACAGACGTGCGTTTGTGAGTAGACAGATGTCCGTAATTAATGTCTCTGAAGCCTGTATGGATGTGTAGGAACTTTCTGTCTAGCACTGTACGTTCTGCAGACAGTTTCCAAATCCCTTGGCAGACAAGCTCTCGTAAGCGGTCACCTCGGAGTGATCTTCCGTTCACTACCTGTCGCAGCCAGGTCAGACTTGCCAAGCTGCAAATACTGACGTGCGGTTGCGTTACAAATTCAGGCCAGTGCTCAACAGCGCGTCTTCGTCATCATTGTGGTCCTGTAAGCGCTAGATTAGATAATATGATTCACTACCGAGCTTTGATACTCAAGAACTGCCACGCGCTCTCCTTGCGCAGTGCATCCCAAATAGTGGTAAGGTTCCTGGCAGTCCGGCAAGGTCTCGACTCATGTCGAGAATCGATGGGACTAGTGGAGGCTTGCGGCCGCCCACTACAGCGTGCGCCCTCATTCAAAGGACTGAGGTGGGAACACTCGCTCTTTGCGCTTGTTCTGTCGGGCACGGCGGAGGAGATTTTTGGTCTGCCAGCAATTGCATGAGTACATTGAGAAGGGCACAGGTGGGCTCTCCAGCCTGGCCTGCTGCAGGAGAGAGTCCGCATTCTTGGCATCGTCTTTCACTACTCCATATGCCCTTGCGCAGAAGTTGAAAGAATCATGGCCAGCTAAGCTCGAACAGCTTGCTTTTGCTTTTAAATGTGGCAAATGCCAGGACCAGCTGTCCAAATAAACAATGCGATGGAAGCGACTCTCATCTGGGACCGGTGCTCCATCAGAATCGCAACCAGCATGTTCATCCTCGGTAAGCTGGCTGCAGCGTGCCACGTTGTACCAGCATCCGGCTGTAGCAAAGGCAAGAAGGAGTTGGCTCATTCTGAGGCAAGGCACAGAATCATCACCATCACAACCATGAAGAAGAAAAACCTGAAGCCAGCAAACCCGCAGACATGAAAGGCGTGAAAGTGCATGAAAGTTCATGCACCTGCGATTCCATGGTGCAGAGTAAGTCGCGGACCAGGCAAATGCCTTGTGGATTCCGATCTTCCCCATCCTGCAGGTAAACTTCAAGCTGCGCAAGTCCTACAGTAGACATGTAAGCCAGACTGCGGCTATATAGAATGTATTCGCACGTGCTAGTTGCGCAACTGCTTCTGTTGTCGAGCACCCTCATTTTGGCTCCCGGCGCATCCCAGTCCCAATCGCCCAGCATGGCGCGAAAACACCTGAGACATGATTTCGTGACGCGACTCCGAACCTCAACGCCCTTTCATGCTGCAGCATTCTGCCATATGTTCTTTCACTGTCATTGGCTGAGGTGCTGGCGCATGAAGTGCTCGGTCAATGGTGGCAAAGTCCAGGATGTCCTGCCCAACGAGGGCAATGTAAAGCCGCAGCTGACTGCATGGCCAGTGATTCCCAGAGTCCTGACCAAAGAAGATCACCGCATTGACCTGGCAGGGGGTGATGAGCTTGCATCTCATCGTGTCTTGGCTTTCTGAAGCCAAAGTATCCAAACACTCTGCTGAATGACGCCGGATGCACAGTCATGCAGAAGTACACGGACGCGAAGACAATGAAAAAATGCATCAGGTCGTTGTATGCCATTCTGAAGGTGTCTGTGACCTGGCATCTTCCGCCCTGTGTGTGTTTCTGTCTTAGCACAGGCTATTTGCGGGTTGGTTCCTCTCGGGTCTGCTTCGTGCTTGGTGCCGTCGAGAAGCAATTGCCAGACGCTTCTGAGCTGCGAAAGACCTTGAGTGCTCAGTCTGTCATGTCGCTTCACAAGCTTGCAGGGGCTGCTGGGACAAGAGCTTGAAGAGGCGCATCAAAAGAACCTGACGCAGGACACGGGCTTGGCAAGGCTGATGCAAGGCAGTTTGCATTTTGGATTTCTGGGAGCTGTGCTACAGGGTAAATGCATAGCCAAAGCCTCAAGTTGCGTTCCTGCATGGTGCAAGGGGAGGTTGCTTCAGGAACGCGGCAAAGCTTCATGCCAACTGTCCGCATCAAGCATCGCGACAACAGCATCCGCAAATTCCGAGACCTTGCAGCTACAAGGGACGTCCATCAGGTCTGCAAATATTATGAAGCTGCGTGAAGATGCCATTTCTGAGTCACCTCTCTGCCGACACTTCCTTTTTTCGAGAGGCAAGAAACCAAACTCAGCAAAGGAGAGCACAACCGGAGTCAACAGCTTGTTGCTGGTCCGCTTTGGCGTTGTGGTCACTTTGGGCGGTAGCCGCATCTGTTTGAGGATGGCTTTAGACCATTGCTGGCGTTGGGCGAGCTGCTCGTTCCTGCCTGAAAGGACTAGAAGGGACTAGACTTATGAGACACGTGGAGGCGGGAAAGAGCGGACTTGGAAAATCAGCATGCAAAAGAATGACCTCAAGTCATTGGATGCCGTATCGCAGTCCATCGGCAGTGTCCCGAAAATCAGACCTAGTGGTACGGTGAAACCGGTTTGACAAAGAGTTGTTGAGCTGTGTCAGCGGGACGTATCCCTTGCATTCTCAGCCGGAAGCTGCATCCCTGACATGCAATCAGCTCTTGCTAGGCTCTGCCAGGGAGTGAAGCGCTGCCGCCTTGGATATGTGCAATCTTTACGGCACTAGTGCCACTAGCGGACTAACTAAGCAGCAGAAGTCCAAGACTTTCTTCTACATACAGCGCACAGATGACACTGTTGCAGTAACACATGAATTGCAAATCACTTCTTTCACGCAGATGCATTTGCATTCACAATTAACGAATGAGCTGGCACAATCGCTTACGTCTACTCATGAATGAAGACCAGCATGCCCTGAGGGCCAGATTTCTTTTGCTTGTTGAGTGTTGTTGCACTCAGCTGATTTTTATTTGTGCAGGCAATGCCAACATTACCCTGCCAGCACCTGTAATGAACAACAAGTGCTTGCCAACAGTATATATTTTGCACATCTGTGCACTAGACACGATAATAAGAACCGCGAGTTTCTGATAGTTGCATGTGGATGTCTTCTATCGGTGTTCATACTCCTTCCTTTCCTCTCCGCACTTGATACAAGTAGTCAGCATGCAAGTCGTACTTATCATTGTATCTGAAATCCTTAAGTGCCTTTCTACTGTGAAGTATGCGGTGTTTACCTACATGCTTTCTATATAAGATGTCCTGATCCCTTCAACCACTTGCTGATTGCTGCTACACATATGCATGATTTGTTCACATTCCCCAAAGGTCTCAGGATGTTCATCGCGTGCAGAACAGCCTCGTGTAATGTAAGAAGTCAGATGCCCGCGATGCGCTAGGCTGTCATCTATTGTCTGTTAGAAGGCATGGCTACAATTGCAAGCCACGGCGATGCCAGGCACCGACGTGGCCTGCAAGCAAATCGCACCTACACCACCCGCCGCAGCCGATCAATGATCTGTAGGGCCATATAGATGTAGCAGCTGCGTGTGAACGCGGCACGGACATGGGCCACGGAAACCAATGCAAACCAGGATACCATGAGAAACGTGCATGGCAAGAATATGGAGCCGAGCTGCAAGATATGGGAGGAAACAGATGCAACAGGTATTTGCGACCAGAATCTCGCAAAGAAAATGATTGAAATAAACAGGGGCACATTGGCAGGCAGGCCCATCACTCAAAGTGTCTAGGTCTGGATTGCACAGGCCCGCTGCCATCTACCATACCAGACAACAAGAAGTCCCAAGGTCATCTGTAGCCTAGCTCCTGCATCGATGACCTGTAGCAAGCTGTTAAGCAATGCATTTAATGCAATGATGTCGGCCGCAAAGCACGTCTGTTACGATCGGATACTGTGCTGGCCGAGCGCAGCCACTCCGACCAAGAGGAGTTTCTTAAGATGGTAGACTGCATGGAATTGGTCCTTGCACACCATGCTATAACTAAGTGTGCGAAGGCTATATGCAAAGTCAAAGGAAGATAAGGCAGGACAGGCAAAATCTGATGACGAGCAGCCATGTCTTCAATGTCCTTCTGTGTGTTGGACCTGATTACATGAAGCTTCAAAATGCTATCGCCCCACCTGAGCTGCAGTAGGCTGGGACCCAAGCGTCCAGGAGGCAATTGTCTTAGACTGTGGCTTCCGGTCCAGGTAGAAAGCCCCAGATTCAATCCTCGGAAAGTCTCCCAAAGAAGGACAAGGAAGGACATGGATTTCTCACCTCTCCCAAAGCTTCTCCGTAAGTAGCCCTGCAGCCTGGTGTCTGTTCTGCAGGAGCAACACAGAGCCAGCAAATGCCTTCAGCTCCTTCCCAGTTTGTGCGCATTGGCTCCAGCCATTTCTTCATGGAGCCATAGGCATGGTCCACACCTTAGAGTCAAGATTCAGGATGTCAAAGAGGCTACAATAGGGGTTATATAGGGATATATATATATATATACATATATATATACACATATATATATATATATGTAGATATATAGGGTTGAGTTAAGGCCGTCTCTTCTTGAATTCTGAGCACCCAGCCAGGCGTGTCTGTCCATCCAGGATGGCAGCTCGCGAACACAATCTGTTCCTTGGGCCACACGCAGGGATCTTTGTCCCTAGTGACCCTTGACCTTACTGGTGCTTTTGCCAGAGTGGGGGGGTGGATCCCTATAATCATCCCTGCATAATCCTCATATCTGCCCCTATCATGGTACCTATTTCCACTCCCCCACTCCCCTTTGAGCACCGCTAAATTACTTGCACTCAAGCCCTTGTGCTGGTTGGACTTACTGGATCTCTTACAGCTCCAACCCAATACTTTGTAAGGAAAATATAGGGATCATATTTCGTAGTTGCAATAATTCCCTACCTAGATCCAGCAAGACTAATAAAGTTGGACACGAATTTGTCAACGCGGGTGCTTAGGTACTGTGTGGCAACGCTCCGCAAACAACCATGAGATGTCGTAATTTACAGCTTGGGCGTCTCCAGGCTGCTTTGCCCAATGCTCACACAGCAGCACCTGGTGAGGCAAATGGGAGGCGAGGCTTTGATGCGTTCCTAAACGAGGGCCTGCCCCCTCTTGGCGTAGGCGTAGGAGAGCTGCCGATCGTAGGATCCTTTCTTGCCCGTAGCCAGGTTGTGGTTGTATTTCACATTCAGCATTCCTCGGCTTCGGCTTTGAGATGCTTTCAGAATCCATGCGGAGCTGAAGTCAAGTTAACTTCACATTTGCCGTGTGAGACACCGCCGGAGCTGACGACCACCACACGCGCGCCTGCCTGCGTCTGCTGTCTGACTTGTTTCGCTTCGTTCACTTCTGCATTGACTACAGGAGCAAAAAAGTTTCTGCGCTGCCTTCTGGCCCAGGAGGGGTCGCAGCTCCTCCGTCAGAAGGTAGGTGCCATGGAGGAGGTGTGTGGCAAACGTCACCTTCAGTGCAGGGCTTCCAACAGAAAGCCGACTGCAACCTTGCTCCGTCCCGGCCTCGTGCCCTTCGGATGTCAGTGTTTTCTTGTGGGTCATGGCTCCCGCGTTGCAAACCAGGCAGTCAATCCCGCTTGCCTCCTGATCAGGTGATCGGACCCTCACTTGCTCTTGCTTATACCGCAACCTAGCACCAGATTTTGGTCATGTCTAGATAACTGACTGGATGCTGTGCACTGTCTAGGTGACCGCTGGAACCTCAAGCACTTGATTCCAACCGTCGGTAAACACCCCGGTCTACCAGAGTCTACCTCTGCTGTTGTTTTGTCGCTGGCTGCAGCTTGCAGCATGCTTGAAATAAAGACCGTCCCGTACATTCGATGGTCGACGCCCTGACAGCATTTCCTTAAACAAATGCACTCCACAAGGGACTTGCGAGTAGTTAACGACGGAAAGCAACGGCAAAATAGTTGGCTGTGGCAGGGATCAAAACCCTATTCTGTAGCACGCAACCGCCCCCAACCCCATGCGCCTCTTCACATACCCCTTTGTCGCGGCTTGTCATTACATAACTTTCTGAGAAATGCTTGGTACATGTATGCCACAAGAGAGAGCGCTTTTTCACATTTGGGTTTGTCGCGAGCCGGGCCATTCTGTCACATGTCTATGACGCGGAATGGCCGCCCAAGCCTCACTGTACCCAACACAATGCTTTCGATTTACAGCCAACTCTGCACTGGATGTTCGGAGGCATTCAGAGCAAGCAGTTGTTCCCCATGCAGTTGTCTTGCTTCAGCAGCAGAAACACACGAAGTGCTCTTTGCATCACCTTGACAAGAATCAGAGCTCGAAAGATCCGAGTTCTTCGAATGATAGGTGGTGAGCGATGCTCGAGTTTCTCAAAGCAAGGGCGCCGGGCGCTTTTCTATGCCCGAAATGATGGAACCTCTCTTTCAACAGCCATCAACCAGCACTCATAGTTGTGTAGACGTGTCCTACGGTGAGGCATTACAGGGGCTTTGCCTGGGCTTCAGCCCAAGGCTTACAAATGTGGGAGCTCTCTTTAAGTTCGGAGAGTCTAACTTTGTCCAGGCTATCTGCGAAAGCAGCTTGATCACTGAAATTTTTGCCGAGGCAGGATGGATCATCATAGATCTTCCCCTCTTCAAGGACCGGACTTCTCTGAGTGCTTCTGAAAGCCCGTACATTCTGCAAGTAAGATTGCCGCGCCCATGTCACACCCACATCTTAGCAAGCACTGCGAATGTCTGTGTAACAGTCTTTCTTGCTGTCTTCACTCATACCAGCCTCAATGACGACAATGTCCAAGCAAACGCACAACTGTAGCTTAGAGACTCACTTCACATTCGAATGTTGTTACTTGGCCGCACTGCCTTCTCGCGAAGCTCGGCTGCAACCCGTCGCACATCAGAGGCAAGACCGCAATCTGCCACAAGCAGATGCACCTCGTCACCTCGGGAATTGCCGTCGACTCCTTCTGTAACGGGGTCTGGTTGCAGTTCAAACAACCTGGCCTATTGCAATCAGATGTGTCAATATGTGAACATCCGCTGGGGCGTCTAGATTCAGGTTCGGAGACGGTCAGACTGGCGGTTTTTTGTATCGTTTCGCGTGGCAGGCAGGGAGGGGGGGGAAAGGCGAGGGGCAGGCTTGGGGACCCTTGCCAAGGCGGTCTCGCGCCAGCGACCAACTTACATGTTGAACGATTCGAAGGAATTGAGCTCTGCATTTATGCCGTCTAGGAACTGCTGGTCTTCTGGACGATTTCATCTTTGGCCTGCTGACCTCGCTCTGCGTTTCTGCAGACCTGGGCTTCCACACGGCCATTTTGACTTCGAACTCGATTCTAATGGTACACGAACCTCACTCTGGGAAGAGGTTGGAAGGCATAAGCAAGGTGCCATGTAGACCCTGCTGCCACGAGCAACCAAGAATTCCGCGATCTCTCTGCCGATTCCTTCAGCATGCGAATGCCTTCTCTTACAAGCTACTTGAAAGGTGCGCTTTACTTGCCCGACTGCTATGAAGCACAGCATCCATTCCTGTCCTGAGTTGGCGCCCGTCACCACTGACACCTTCCCCCGCAGGTTGTAGGACTGCAGGTCTTGACCATGCCCGTATGATGCAGAATGAGCTTTCCTCGGCTGGTGCAGACGATTCCTGGTGCTGTAGCTCTGGCAGCAGTATCTTCATTCTGCTGACTTATGACAACCCTGTGACAACTGAGGAGGCATCCATCCCGTTTGTGTGAAATGCTGACGCCCATACGTATAAAACCGGTAAGTGACAATCGCTTGCCCCATGGCAAAGCGAAGGCGGCTGCCGAGAGCTGAGATTCAGAAAATCATGTCACTCATGTGCTTGCGATGCACCAGGATTAGCGTGAAGCTACTGGTCTGCTGCCGCGTGGTGATGGCAATGCTCCGTCTTCATGAGCTTCGGCTTCAGCAAAGCTAACCAAACGCACATGAAATCAATGCCGCGATGAGCTGGTTGCTTCTTGTTCTGAAGTTGCCACTGGCTAAGGCTGGAACCACCTCGCGGTATGTTTCCAGCGGGGGATAGCCACTGCTGTCCACCTGCCACGCAATTCAATTTGATGTAAGTATCTGCAGATTGTTGCCACTGCCTGCGTCACAATGGCACCCAGCCTCAGGGGCAAAACCGAATGGCTGAAGAAAAATTCAGATTCTCAACGTTCGTTTTGGTGGCCTTTACCAAAGATTTTGACACGGGATTCCGTAATTCCACGGCAGGTATGCATCAAGAGCGCGGTGAAACAGCGTGACCGCGCAAAGGGTTGTCCAAGAGTCAAGGCTTCGACAGATGGCAATTGTCCTCTCCTGATCCCCTTTGCACTGATTCCTGTCTTCTGGCCTCTTGTGCTAGCAGCAAAGTGCAAGTCCCGCTCACCTCGCCTTTGCCCTAGCAGAACTAGTTCTGACCACAACCACGACATTATTTCAAAGTTCGCCAGGTTGTGAACGGGCCTATGCCTGTCCCTTGCCGCTAGCCCACGCTGAAGCAATTTGAGACGCCAGCTTGCCATTGACGTCCCCAATGAAGATGTGCAGCCTGCTCGGCCGGCTGAAGCACATCAGCCCTATACCCCAAACCCCTGAACCTCCTGAACCCTAAACCTTAGGTGCCTTTGTTGGATAACTTGGCTTCACTTGGCTTCGGGCACTCCGAAGCTGATGGAGATCACTGTGGTCATGATGATGGCAAGCCAGTCTACACCTCAGCGATACTGCAAGGAGGTATAGGGATCTCTAGGGCCATATGGGTACGTATAAGGATATATACAGGTACACAGGGATTCTGCATAAGCAAATGCAAAAGAACATGAATAAGGATATGGACAATTGGATGGCTGTTCATACGCTATCTCTATCTAGCTCTGCTTTGGCGACATTAGCGGGAGTGATGATACCTGTGTCCATGTTTGCTGGCCGTTCTCAGTTTCCAGCAATTCCAGAATCCGAGATAGTCCTGAGCTAAGGTATAGTACCTGGCATATGGACGGGTCATGCGATGAAGGCTTGGTAGAATCCAGATCGAGCACTGCACACACCGAACGTTCGACCCAGTTTCCATCTCGTTTTTCCACGTTCTTTTCTGCTTGATTTTCCATAATCTCAGTAGAACACAAATACATACCCAATATCATAATAGTAGTTTCCATTTTTCCACTATTCCCCAAAATCACATCATGTACCTATATACACCGGCTTACAGTCTGAGGCTCTCGGAAGTGAAAGGGTGCCAAATCTTGTTGGACCGCTGAATCATCGTCGCCATCTCCTTGAAAACTCATCACGAGCAATTGGGATAGACCTCCCACCCCACCCAGTAATGGTGACTCTAACAGATAATGGTCATCATAGTAATGTGCCCTTATATTCCATACTACTATTACAGGGTGGGGGGTACACCGAAAGAGAAACATTGAAGAAGTGAGAGCTCGTCACAGTTAGCAGCAACTAGCTGTAGTCGAAACTCCGAGTATCCCCCTTAATAGCTAGCCCTTATACTGCTCCCCTATGTAATCCCCTACATAACCCTCCTTTAAGGAGTTTAGACTATAGCTCGCTCATCCGTGAGCAGCTTCAAGCAAGGCTGCGGCCAAAAGCTCGACCTTTGCCAGGTACAGGCAGCCGAGGACCCTCAGGGGGTTTAGGGGTTTAAGGGTTGAGGGTTGAGGGGTTTACAGTTTAGGGTTCCAGGGTTTTAGGGTTTCAGGGTTTTAGGGTTTCGGGTTTAGGGTTGCAGGGCTTTAGGGTTTACGTTTATGGATTTTGCCTAGCAATGCCAAGCCATATAGTTGCTGCGCAAGCCAATCTTGCCAAGTCTGTTTAGCTTAATAATTGCAATATGAAGAGTGATAATAATAAAAATAACAGTAGCAGCAATAGCAATAGTAAATAACAATCAATACAGTAACAATGCTCGGTCGGTCTGTAAATGTGCGCCGTCAACAGGCGCGCAAGCATGCAAAGTGAAAAACCCTGGCAGGCGTGGGGTTTCGGGCACTCCGGCCCAACAGAAGCTCCTTTTTGTCGAGTGTGCCGAACTTCTGGTTTTCCTCCCGAAAACGCGTTTTCGCGTGGACACCGTGGTCGATGAAATGCCAATCTCTGTCATTGACAGGATGGAGGAAAGCGGCCGGGCTGTAGGCAATTTCATGTTTTCGCGCCTCCCTGTACATTCGAAAGCACGTCAACAGTTCCGTCAGGCCCAGCTTTTCCAGCATGCGAACGCCAGCCAAGGCAGCAATGCGGACTGTGGCAGGCGAGGAACATCCGTACAGCGGCTGCCTTCCCATCTGCTGCTTGAATCCTGAAACCTCGTTCTCAGCACCATTGTTGCCAGCCACCAGCTGCCATTGGATGCTCTGGCCATGGGAGTCATCAAAAGGTGAATGGAATTATGGTTTGGGCATGGATGCTCTTTTTATCGGACTCATCAAAAGATGAACGGAAGTATGGTTTGGGCACCGATGCTCAGGTAAGCGCACTCAAAAAACGAATGGACAAATGCACGGAATTACGGTTTGGGCATGGATGCTCTGGTAAGCGCACCCATGAAAAGATGAACGGAATTATGCGTTGGGCATGGAGGCTCTGGTCCTGCATGGATGCTGCGGTTAACAAAATGGTGGCAGTGGCAGTATTTCGCGCAGGTTGCAAGGTGTAAAAGTGCTCGAAACACTGCAAGGTCAGCCAAAAAAAAGCTTCCCGTGTGAGGGCGCTGTCCATACATTTTCCTCAAACTCAGAAATGCTGACGCCACCAGCGCTTCTCGCACTTCCAAACCTTTAAAAATGCGCCAAATACTGCGAGGGCCAGCAAAGATGGGCTTGGGCGAGGACGCGTTTTTTGCCCCGTTACAGGCCGACGGGGCCAGTAACAAGTAATAAGCAGCAGGTAAGAAGCGAAATGAGCCATAGTAAAAAAAAACCCTAGTATCCCCTTAATCGTCCCTATAGTAGTACCCGTTAAGGAGTTTATGACTATAGCCTAGAGCTCATGTTCTTCCTATGTTCGATCTAATTTTGCATTTTCTTTTTCATTTGATTTTCCATCATTGGGAGTAATTTTGCTAAAGCCCTATATAGCCCCGACGAAGAAGTAATAAACAATGTGATGGCAAAGGACGGTGGTAACTTACAGGCAGGCCCTGAGCTTGTGGCCACAGCAATCCGGAGATAGCGATGAGAGCCAAGACCCCTGGCTCCCGGACCTGACAAAAAATTAGGAGTACCGTTTTAGGGTGGTATAAGGGTTATATAGGAGTATTTAGGGATATATAGGGATTGATAGGGGTCAGTGTTTCCCAAAATTAAGCCTACCATTTGGGGTATATAGGGATGTATAGGGTTGAGGGTTTATGGATTAGGGTTATTAGAGTTTCGGGTTTCCCAAAATTAGGGCTACCATTTTGGGGGTCCCTATGACAAGGATTATAGTATTTCGTGGTCTATGTTGGGGTCCCCCTTTTCCGGGAAACCACCACGTCAATTCTTCCGTAAAAAACACTTGATGCTGCAAGATATTCTACGTTAATAATCGGTATAATCCTGAATCATACTAGAATCTTCGACTTCCCGGAAGCAGGAAGCTGTTAATGCGCCTCAAGCCCGGCCCAGGACGATCGAACGAAGACCAATTTGAAGATGTTGCCACCTCTGGAGAACCTTGGCCAGGCTTCAGTCGGGAGTTGTTCATCACTGAGCCAAGAACTGTGCGAAAGCGATAAGAGCTTATGCTGAAGTCCAATTTTCGAGCTGGAGACCAAAAGTTTGCGGTCGCCAGGTTGTAAAGACCTGGGAAATCTAAAAGGAACGTCTCCACCGCGCTCAGGCTGGCCTCAATCTGTGCAACGTGCTTTGATGACCACTGCGCGCTGACGCGTCATAGATTGGCGCCGCTTCATTGCAGGCATTGCAGATCCACACCGTGTTAGTGCGGGTCAACGCTTCTACATATCAGCCGAGGTTTCACGGCTGCCACTACGAAGCAGAGGTTGGAGCCTCTTAGACTCTTGCTGCTGCTCCTCCACACAACTCTTCAAAGGAGTCCGAGGAGGATCAGCAAACCCGATGGCCATATCAAGCTTGATTTGCTGGTGGACAGTGCCGCAGAATCGGATGCCTGCAGCTAGGAATGCAGATGAAGGTGCAATGGCCAATTATAGCTTCGCCGCTATAGTGGTCGAACATGCTAGGACAACATACAGCAGTGGGAACCATAACGCATCAAGTTTCTTCCTTGACTTCCGCTTCCGTTCCGGAGCACTCATAGTATTGGCTCATGTCCTGGCAAGAGGAGCAAACCATTGCAACGGTTCGTGCGCGTCTCAAGCTGACCAAATTCCACAACTCATGCACAAAGGTGGATTCTTCTACTTTTTGGCTGCTAAGATCAAGGTCGTGCCAACAAGAGTCCAAGACCGACGTTGGAGTGCTTGACACAACGCTCCCAGCTGCAACCAACTTTATCTGTGCCTTGCTGCATGCACAGGGCAGGCTGCACAGAACATGCACTACATAATTGATCATGCCTTCTGTCTGAAACTAAATCCATGTTAGGTGTTGCTAGTCGTTTTCAGGAGTTCCTGCAACCCCACCATGCATGGATACCATCTTTCGCAACCTAGGCCGACTGACTACTCCCGTTCGTGCCAGAGGCTATCAGCCGTGATGCAGACGCCGACAGGCTTCCCGAGACTGCCATCGTGTCGACGCAAACTTTCGGGGATGCAATGCTCCAGCAAATTGATGCCTGCGGAGCAAGTCTTTTGCCGTTTCCATGTTTCCGTTGCACTGCCTGGCCTCCGCAGCAGCGAATAAAGCAATGCAGTCTGCGCCACTGATCGAACCGCTGGTGGAGTCGCAAGTTGTGGTACCTGTCGATGTGAAGCACCCCCAAGCCATGACTCCTATGAGGGGGTTTCTGCTGAACAATATCTGCAGTCCTGCGCTCCATGTCCCCTTGAACTCTTCCTTCACGCAGTCACCGTCCCAGCGCTCGCCAAATTTGAATTCACCGTTGTCCTAGCAGCAAGCTTAGGTCATGAGTCGTGACTTAAGAGCTTCAGACTCACGCGAACATGTGCAGATTACAAATACCACATGGCCAATGTCACCAGTGTGTTGAACCGTAGATCTACATGGGGTCTCGGAAGCAGCAACAAAGTCAGGAGTGTGCATCCTGTCCTGCGCATCCTTGACCTCGATTCCATAGTAAATGGTGTCGCTCCGGCTCATGGTGCCTTCGATGCCCTTCGCGGTCATCTGCCGAACCTCAATGGATCGCTAAATGGATTGCCAGTTTCCATACGGAGTCCGTCATGCTTTACCTGTTCTGGGTTTTGCGAGCTGGTACTAACGTCTTCTTCCATCTTCCCTGCGTCTTGAAAGAGGTTTGCCATAGCTGTGAGCCAATCGTTGTAGGAGCTGCTTCTTCCATCAAATCAGTACACGCCTTAGAGTCAGCGGGTAGCCACTTGCTGTGAAGCTGAAAATTGAGTCTAGAGTTTGTAAGCAATTTGTTCACGGTCCTCAGAACATTTTCTGGGGGTTTGCTGAGTCAGACTTTCAGTTTGCTGACGTGCTTGGGGTTGAGGGCTCACGGCAAGACATGGTCTTATCAAGGCCGGGGAAAAGAATAACGCTGAGCATTCACAGCATTGCGTTTCCAATTCTGTACGAGCATGAGAAAACGCGTTTCAACCGATTTGAAAATACGTTTTGCTGAACCATGCTGAGTTCGTATTACACCACAGCAGCAGCAGCAGCAGCAGCAGCAGCAGCAGCAGCAGCGGCAGCGGCAGCCGCAGCCGCGGCGGCAGCAGCAGCAGCAGCAGCAGCAGCAGCGGCAGCGGCAGCGGCAGCGGCAGCGGCAGCGGCAGCGGCAGCCGCGGCGGCAGCAGCAGCAGCAGCAGCAACAGCAGCAGCAGCAGCAGCAGCAGCAGCAGCAGCAGCGGCAGCCGCGGCAGCAGCAGCAGCAGCAGCAGCAGCAGACCACAGCCCCAATCCTGGGCCTTCGCCCAAACAGCCGTGTATTTGGTGTGCTGAGCAGCTCCAGTCGCCGACGCCCAGCTGGTGTCACCAGTGTCGCTGGTGCAAGTCGCCTGGAAGTTGACCTGCAAACGTGTTAAAATGTGAGAACTGGTCTCGACGCGAAGTAGCCAGTACTGCGTCTTCAGTTCATAGCTGGCCTCAAGGTCAAACGCCAGCTTCTTGTTGAAGCTAGTCACCTGGGCAACTGTGCCCCTTGTACAGGATGTGCATTTTTGCGGAAGCATGAATGGGCTGCATCAGTCTATGCGCCCGACTGATATGGACTCAAGTCTGACGTTGGAAGCTTGAAAGGTACTCCTTGCGTGAGTGTCGGCGCACGAGACTACGCCTGCTTGCACGACTTTTTGCTATAGAGGTGCTGGGTGATTTCACATGACGTGGGCGGGCTGATAGCTGCTTCACACACGTGAAGAGCAGCCAAGATCACGGCACCAGAGATGTACCTTAGATAATGATAAAACTGCATCCAAAGTGGTGAGGTCCGTCCCCCTCCTTGGGCAAATGTGACAAGGCACCTCATGCTCGCCATGAGGCCACAAGGCCACGAGGCGGCGAGGCTGGCCGCGAGGCTTCTTGAGATCAAGCGGCAGCAGGAATCGCATGGCGGCTGATTCCTACATGCTTTGCCGTGATACTTTCGCAGACTGTGCTGAGTGCCGTAGTGCGCGTTGTACGTGATGAAGGCGACCTCAACCTAGGGCCAAGGCTTCCGCTCCACAAGGCTGGTAGTGTTGAACCTTTCACAGCCAACACAGGCTGTTGCCCGCTGTGTCTGCTCATCCAGCCAGGGGTGTGAGTTCACCTGCAGCAGCACGCATCATATACCCACCAAAGACTTGACACTGGGGCAAGTTGTGCTGCCTGCGCGTCGCACCACTGACACAAGCACGTCCTAGGCCCGCCGGAGCATAGCAGCGCCCAGTCCCGCAGCTAGCCTGCTTGGGAGCCGGCCGGTTCTGCGCCCTGGCAGAAAAGCACCCGTCCTCGACAAAACAAGTGTCACAGCGGAGCACCGTCGAACCCTCCTACACTCATTACACCACCACGTTGTCAACTCGTCGACTCAAGGCAACCAAGGTCCTCCATGTCGATCACATGTTGGATCAGAGCCGAGTTGCCTTCAACCTGCAGTTGTGAGACATAAGTCGCATGAGTGTGCCTTTCAGCCAGTCTGACTTGCCTGCCTCTGGCAGAAACCACTCCACACGCTGGGGTGCGCTGCTGAAGGCTTCTGTTGCCATGAGATCCGGCCTTGAGGCGGCAGCAACGAAGGATGGAGCAAGTAGCCCTTCCCAGAACTTGAGGCCAGCACGGCAGCTCATACTCGGTGAAGTGCGTACACGGTTTGCCCACCCATCTCCTGCCACGAGGACCCTACAAATTCAAACGAGACTGCAAATCTTTCACTGGTGCAGCTGGCGGGTGCCCAGCCTGAAAGTCTCTTCAGCACCAAAGTGTGTACAGGTTGCCTTGTCGTCCGTGGAGACCTACAGCTGAATTGCAAACAATGTGTGTGGGGCATGCCAAGGATTCAAAAAGGGCAGCCTCTTGTCGGAAACGCAGCCCTCCAATGATTCTGTTGTACCTGCAGCACGAGAAGGCAGATGACTGCAGGAGCTGCTTCTAGGGCAGAAGGTCTTGCAGCTACAGGCTACGAGCACAGGCAAGACGCAGGGGTCCCAGCCTCAAATAATCATTTTGTACTGGAGCCGGCTTCTGGTATCCGGGATAAAGCCACCGCTGAGGAAGAGCATTGACATCGTACCCCTGCAACAAGATGAGCTATAGTCTAAACTCCTAGCATCCCCCTCAATAACCCCTAGAACAGTCCCCCTATAGAATCACTTGTGTAACCCCCCTTGAAGGAGGTTCGACTATCGCTCATATTCTCCTTAACCCTAATATATTCCGCAATATTATCCCTTCAAACCCTGTTTCCATGTCATTTTCTTTTTTCTTTTCCGTTTGATTTTCCATTGCTGGGAGGAATGTCCCTTAAGCCCTATATAACCTCCATAAAGTCCCTACACTAATTCTGGGAAAGTCCCTACATCCTAAGGCCTCGGGGACTACATCTGCCAGGCCCTCTGAGTAGAAGTAGGGCATCTCTGGGAAGACCAGCGGAAGAAGCCCCAACCGCCTGACGCATTGCTTCTAAGGTAGATTGGGTTGTTCTCAAAATTCTGGACCTTTCTTGGGTATAAACTTTATTACAGCACCTAATATTAAGGGTACCAAAATGGGACCCTCATTTTGGGAACCATCCAGATAGCTCAGACACTCCGAAACGCTGGCCAGGCACGTCCATGACCAAAAATCTGCGAAACTGTTCACATCTTCAATCACCTTGTTCCCGAAGTAGCCTTCCTGGGAGATGCATTCCGACTCGTGATGCAGTAATACCCTCACGCCTGGTGTTACCAGCTATCTGCTGCCGTGTGTCGAATGCAAAGTTTGCATTTTCTGATATGTCGGTTTCAATGGAATTCTCCACACTCATGACCTTAAGATCTGCAGCAGCTGCCGCCAAGGAACTGCAGTTTGTCAGTTCTTCTGTGCATGGTGTCAATAACATCCGCAAATCAAGTTTAGAGAATCTCATGATGCAGTGACCCACTCAGCTCACGGCAACATCTTGGGCCAAATATCCCAGCGCGAAGAAGGCCTTGTGAACTCATCTAATCATTTGCATACACCTTGAGACCCAGCTCCCATTTTGGCCGAGACACAAAGGATGCCAAAAACACCACGGAGAACGGCAGCTCCAAGCAGGCCGCTTCCTTCTGCAGTTCTTCCTTGATCCAGTTGGCATAGATCCTTTCCTTGCCAAGTTGAGACTTTATGCGGTCGTGCTCACCTCTGCGTGTGGCTGATCCAGCGTACACATAGCATGCCTCGCCCCTACAACTTGTCAGAAGTGGACAGCTACTCTGGACCAAGGATCTGCAACTCCATCTTCCTCGATTGACTCTTGCTTTACCGCCTTCTTCTTGTGGAAACCTTTCCAGAGCTCCAAGGCAATTGACCAGCAAAACACGACTACAAGCTTCAGCTTGGAAGCTGTTGACCCACTGCGGACTCTCCAGCAAGGACGGCTCGAAAGGTGAAGGCACCTCCCCTGGGCTCGGCATCGGTATTCTCTGAAGATGGAGGCTAAGTCAAATCCAAGGCGCTGTGGGCATCCTGCTGAGACTGCCTACTGGCCATGGCACCATGGCAAGTATGGTAAGATTTGCTGCACTAGTGAGGAGTGAGGCCCGGTGCCTTCTTCTGCTTGAGAGAAAGCGCTTGAGAGCCATGCTTCTGTATGCTCCGCTTTGCAATGTGTTTGAAGATGCGTAGGAGGGCATAGCTAGATTACCTGATTAGAGCCAGAAATGGGACTTCAGTGAGTAACAAGGATCCTGGCCCGGTTGCATTTCCATCGACTTGGTCTTTGGTAAGACAAGATTTTGGTATCAAACGAGAAGTCGCGCTCTGTCCTAGCGCGCCCATTCACTCTCGGCGCTGCTCTTCTTATGCGGGTACTTGTTGAACGCAACCTGGCATTCATTGGAACAAAAACTACTGAACGAGCACGGCACAGACAGGCTTGAACAGGAGTCTCCCCTATCTCATAGCAGTTCCCACGCCGCCTCCCAAGCCTGAGCACCTTTGCACAACGTGAGCAGCAGCGATGCCAGCTCATCGATCACCAGCCTGTTCCGACCCCGTGGGTAACACAAGCAAGGGGGAGCACGCATAAATTTGCATGTAGGTAGTATATGACAAACTATAATCTAGACATCAATGTCTTAAGAAACGAAAAGCAAGTGCAAGTGCAGCATCGCCAGGACCTAATTTGCCACATCGTGTCGCGCTCCCTGACGGTCACTGTGCGGTCCTTCGGCCAGGGAATCTGTCAAAGAGCGTACGGCTGGGCTGGTCCCAGTGACACAGCCGGTCCAGGTCTACATAGTAATACGTAGCAATAGTCACAATAATAGTAGTAATAGCAATAGCAATAGTCAGAGGAAATGACAGAAGTATATGGGGCTAATGTAAGTTCTAAATCCCCTGACCAATCCAAAATCCAGTCCACAGTACTACCACGCAGCTGTTGTTCCTTACACGCTGCTTTGTATTCGCAGCCAGGGCAGCTGCCTCTTGAAGCCACCATGAACATTGGAAGTTTTTAAAAAGCTTCCATCCAACATGGCCGCCAAAGAGTGAGAAGCTGACGGCAGGATGCTGCAGATTGCTTTCTAGCACTCTGCCAGCTTCGTTTAAATCTAAGCGAATTCTGGAAGATCGTCTCATGCCACCAAGCTGGACAAAGCCATCGAACCTGCAGCTACAACTTTGAGTGGAACCATGTCGATCTTTAGCATTATTGGGGTGGTCCAGTACAGTCAGCAAAAAGAAATATGAGGTCTGCAAGGGTGGCGTGCAGCCTTGTGTTCAGCCTTGGCTTCCCAGGAGTAGCTCTCGTTCAGCGCGTTCGAAGGCTGCCAAGCTGGTGCTAAGGCTGGCAATTTGCTGTCGCAGGGACGCCTGCATGTTCCTCAGCTGCATGTTCGACTGCTAGGCCGCTCGGCTCGGCAGCTATAGCAATACCAGCCACAATAGTACTTTATAGCAAAAAATAATAGTAATGGTAAGAAGAGTAATTATAGTGACAAAACTAAAATTCCTGCCAAGTGGCCGAACATGTAGCAGCTCGGCGCGCTGTCCAGGGCTGAGATGCTTCTCCTCAGATTTGCACATCCCCGTTTACACTGGCACTCACACTCACCACCTCACACAATGCGAGCAATCTACGAGAATACCAACTCACAAATGCGGAATATGGGAATAGTTGTGACCTGTGGGATTCCAAATGTTCTAAGTTGTGCTGTCGTGGCTATGAGTGCCCTGCATGTGGCCGAGGCTCCGTGAGGATATCCCATTGCTTCTCGGCCACTTCAGCGAAACCACTAGATTCAGCCTCAAACCCATTTGTGCGAGCACACTCCAGCTCGGCTACTTCTGATGGGGAGGTATGGGCCCTGCCTTCGGAGATAAAGGCTTCCATCGCTCGTCGTCAAATGCCTTCGAGCTGGAGGCTGCGCTTTGAACATGCAAGTCCTGAGCGGCATCAAAACAGCTCGGACGTGTAGTCTCAAATGTTCCTGACAACTTCCTGACAATGCACTGTAAGAGCCCGTCGATTTGTTTGGCGAGCATGTTCTGCAGGTTCTCAGACTTTGTGGAAGCTCGTCGGGCCTTTCGCTTCAAATCGCGTCAGCATGTCTGTAAACTCAAATCTGAAATGCGTTGCTTTCAAGAGGCCACTTCTGTCTCGGGAATTGAGGCTCTCTCAGCGGGCGAAGGTGGTAATTCAGCAGAAAGCTTGCCTTACGTGGCTGCATACCCGCCCAGAACAAACCCAAGAAATTCAACTTCATGCCAGGCGGCGGCTCTGAACGATGTGGTCTTGCACCTCAGTAGCATGGCAGTCAAATCCACAAAGCGCATATAACCCCAATATAACCCCTATACCCCTTATTACCCCCATATTCCCCTGTTTTACCCCTATATTCCCCTGTATTACCCCTATATTCCCCTGTATTACCCCTATATTCCCCTGTATTACCCCTATATTATCCCAAGAAGGACCGCTCGCCGCAAGGCCTCGATGCTCTTGCCATTGATCGATTTCAGCTTCTTGGCGCTGAAGACTTCGCTGTCGTTTGGATGCTTCCTTCAAACGCAATGAAGTGCAGGCAGCCGGGCATATCGCAACACCGATGACAAAACCCTAAATCCTAAAAAGAAAACTAAATAGTAGTTTCCGTTTCCTTTTCCATTATCCTTACATAACGCCTATATAACCCTATATACTCCCAATATAATCACCATGTAACCCTATAAAATCTCTAGACCTCTTCTAAATCAAGACTGGTACCTCCTGCACACGAAACGTCAACCCGAACCGGCTGTTGAGATGCCTGATGCTAGACCTTTCCTATAATATACTATATCATATACTATATATGCTATAATATATACCATATCATATACTACAGTATACGCTATAGTACACCATAATGTACTGTAATTTAAATATTTGCCTCAGCCCCAGAAGCTGCAAGTATTAAAAATCCCTTACAAAGGTTAAACTCCGATCTCTTATCGCGGGCGATCCCATGGCCATGGGGTCCTGATGGCCAGGGCACGTCGCACAGTGGGATGCATGTTCTCCAAGATGCGGGCACCTTTGCTTAAAGCATTCATATGAATCTAGTAGTAGTAGTAGTAGTAGTAGCAGCAGTAGTAGTAGTAGTAATAGTAAATAATATATAGTAGCAATTAGAGTAATAATGCTTCACGGCAAAGGCCAAGGGCCAAAAGAGCTACAGTCATGCAGGCTACCAAACGTGTTTGGCACCTTTGTACTTTTCCTCCAGCTGCTTTGCGAACTGCTCATAGCGCGTCCATGGGTCTACTTGCAGTTGCCATTGTGGCTTCTCGGAGTCCTTCTGCCTGGTTCCCACGCTCTGGACAGAAGTAACTCCACAGAGCTTAGCAGCAACTGGCACTCAGGTGGGAGCTGCTTGTTCAGTTGAGTCATGACAACTCCCTGGTCAGCATACTCCCCCTGCAAACCTGCAGTGGCCGCAGGCAAGACAATTTGCACGATGGACTTGTCCGTGTGATGCTTCGTAGCCAACGACCGTGATGATGCAAACCCGGCCTTCTTTGGTCATCTTGCCATCCTTGGATCACTTTTGTTTTGTACCCTTCATTGAGGTGTGTTTGCTTGTTCGAACTGTAGCGAATTGGAAGATTCAGGACACCCTTAGGCAACCGAGAATCGTGACTGCAGTCATAGAGAACAGGCACCATGGTCTGGAGCTTTTGAACCTTGCCACCACAGCGGTAGAGGTTAACTCGCGCTGGCTGCGGAAGCCATGAAGAAAGATTCATTTATATTGGATTGAACTATTTTTTGTAAGGTCGCAAATTAAGTAAGGGTCACTTAACATTAGACGGCGTTCAATACTTATCGCATTTGGGCACGGCGAGACTTCAGATAGGTCTCACGCATAGGGCTCTACTACTGACCACTGTTATGAGATTCGAAGTACCAAGCGATGCCCTCAACCAGGCTGCGCCGTGCGGAGATTCACAGCAGCCTGCTTCTGATACGTATTGCCAATATTTGCTTTAGCCACTCACCATCCATGGGGGGCCACGTGACGTGTTCGTTCCAGGAGGTGGTTAACGCAGGATCCGGCGAGCCAGAAAAGCTCATGTTGTACAGGTTGTCGATCAGGAAGCAAGCGTCCATCACACCATTCCTCAGCAAACCAGAGGCAAATTCATGACTTTCGCGCACTCTTCTGAATTTTGAGCCCCAGCTGAGAAATCCCCAGCAAAACCAGGCTTGAAACCAGGGGCCAGCCCCGCTGCAGGCCCACCCCGGCTATCCAGAAAGGCTCTGTCACCTTAGCTACAGTACGGACTTTCTTCGATAGTTTGGAGTTTGTTTGGGCTGGCTGCCATTTGGCGGCAATCGGCACCCAAGCAAGCACTACGTGCAGTGAGCTCAAAGTGTAGGGGGCTCATGGAAGGAAGTTAGATCTTTTCAGATTAGCTAGCAAAGTCCCTGTCTCAGACTGGGGCGTGTGGCGTTTCTCAGAGAGCCTCTGCACAAGTCGTCATTGAATTTTAATGAGAACACACCCAGGCTGAACAAATAGAGATGGAACACTAATTAGCCTCAACATGTCTTCCGAGCCGTGCTGAATGCTCCGAACATTCCACATACTGCTCTCCCCAAAGTCTCCATGAAGGAGTGCCAAGGAAAGTAAGATGTGATCCCAGTTCAGACTGCAAATGAATCCGAAACACAGCATCTCCGACCAAGCCAATCGGTGGGACCAAAGACCGCCCTGTCCAGGGCCCTTGTACCTCCAGGGGCTTTTGCTTTGGCTTGAAATGCCATCGGCATGCTGGGGGAACATATGAGCAAACCAAGCTGCCTCGGAGTCGTAATCCATTGGCGGGAGGTTGAATGCAAAGTTCTTCTTACATTTCCAAATCTCGGAGAAGTCAAAGGCCTGCAAGCGGAGCTGCCGCCAAAATTGGCCGGGTGGCTGGCAGCTTTGCAGGGTGTCAGGGCATGAGGCTACAGCTTGGAGCGCGCCATCACATCGTTGGGCTCCTCAACAAAGCCTCCGTTACTGAGCGTCTCGTCCACCGGAATGCCGACCTACAACAGGGAAAGAGTGAGTTAACTACTATTTTAGTATTCTTCCTACTATAAGCATTATTACTACTATAAGTACTTTACTACAATTATTAGTATTATTGCCAATATATTTATTAGCATTGAGAAGTTGTTCAACGCTTTTGTCGATGCAGAACGGCCCGGCCACGCCTCTTTGCATCTATCCAAGACCCATCGTTTCAAACGCATCTTCTCTTCCGCTTTGTTGGGGTTCACCTGCTGCTTTTGAACCCTGGGGGTTTCCCAACAGTAGGAGTACCTTTTTCGGGGTCCCCATAATGAGGACTATAGTATTTGGGGGTCTATATTGGGGTCCCCTTATCTTGGGAGACTACCCCCTCTGGTATGCTTTTAGACGCTAAGTGTCCAAAGGGTTTGGGCCCGCAGGATTCTCTGTTTTTGACCAGCCTTGTCGCGGCCAGAGTGAAATGAATAGATGCTTCCACTGAAGCCGGCTGCTTGCAAGTCTTCCTTGCTTGGAGTGAAGATGACGTAGTTATGGAAGGAAGCCTGCCGCCAAGCAACCTCTCACTTATACAGAATGTGGTAGTTTCCCAGAACAGGGCGACCCCAACATAGACCCCCAAATACTATAAGCTGTGTTATAGGGATCCCCTGATTTTGGGAAGCTCCCATTGGATATTGACACGGCTATCGGCCTTGTAGTAGTTGAGCCCTGCCATGGTGCCAGCACCACTGGCCAAGTGCGCTCGCTTCATGTCGGTTGGCTCTTGGCCACTGGCAAAGCCCAGGTCCTCACAAAATCACAAAAAACCATCTCGAAACCCCTCAGGCTTAAGGCCTTTAAGAGCAGGTTGAAAAGAGGTACAGTGGCAAGGCCTTGAGACGTTGGCGGGAGACTTTCTGCACATTGGCCACAACGCCGATCATCTTCTTGAAGTTACGCTTATCCACCTGTCATGGCAGTGGCAGAGGCAGGTTGCGTCGGCTCCATTTCATGATTCTTGCTCCCCTCACCTCTCCAAAGATCTGCTTCTGTGACTCTCGGACGCGACTCCGGGCACCATCGCAGCCCATCAGGACATCGAAGGTTTCAAAGTTCTCCCCAACAGGAACGCCGTGGCTTCGGGACCCTTGCTCCTCGGAATCCAAAGACACAACGAAACAGACCTTGCGTCTGAAGCGTGCCAAGCAGCGTCGCATGTGAACTTGACCTTCCACCTAAGATAGATTGCAAAGGTCTGTGCTTCCGGTTCCTCCGCTGAGGCCCCTTCTTTTCAGGAGGAAGAGCTCCACCCACCCAGCCATAGGGCACCACTGGCCTTTTGATGCGTGGAGCTCTTGGTAAAACTCCATCAGAGGCCCCCCCCACCCAGCACCCGCACCCGCCCCCTTCCTCTTCCACTCTCTCCACTCATTCTTCGCCACCTTCCCTCTTCTGGCAATTTACACTCACTGCCCACTGGTCACCAGCCCCACTGTCTTGGCCTCTCTTGCAGCCTCCTCTTCTGGAAAACTTGACGCAGCAAGTGGGCGACAGCCGGAGGCTTGGAGGAGGCCTAGAAAAATTGGACCTTCATGTGTTGTGTTTGGGCTGCCTGTGTCACTTGGGCGTATTGAGCCGTGGGGTTTTCACGCCTCCAAAGGTTTTTGGTGCTTTATGGGTCTCTCGCCGCATGCCGAAGAATTAGCCAGGCCGGGCTATGCATGTTGAGCTGACTTTTTGGTCACTTGTGCAGGCTGACGCATGTCCAGGATCACACTGTGAGACAGCGTGGGCAGTCCGAGGCGGCCCTTGCTAGCGTTAATGTTGGAATACCAAGGCATTTTTTTAGAGATGAAGTTCAGAGCTTTGATTGAGGCCGCAGCCGTGGCTTCTGAGTCTTCGGGTCGAGGATGATTTCAGCGTCCTGCCCGGCTCTCTGCCACTCTTTCCCTACTCAGCGCTGCAGAAGAAATTCTTGATACAGGGGTATAATGTAGGCTTATATAGGGACTACGGGAGGCAGTATAAAGGTAATGTAGGGGTAACATGGGTAATGAAAGAATTTGGTCCTCATAGGACATGCCCATGCGAAAGTCAACACCCAGAAGCAAGGCATTCTTCAGCAGGAGGATTTGAAGCTCCTGTGCATGCACTTCCAAAACAATTTTGGGGAATCTCAAGAGTGGGCACTTATCATCACCTGTCTTTAGAATTTTTTTTGTCACAGCCCAGCTCGGCTACTTTGTCGGAGCCTGACCCCGTATTAACGATTGGAGCATGACTTTGGCATCAAGCTGGAGGAGTGGAAGCGGGCAAAGGCCAACCATGCTTGCAAGACATTGCTTAACAATTGACAGCGTGCACCACTTGCAACATCTTGAAAATCCGGCACCACGACTAATTGCTTGCCAGCGTCATCGATCCCAATCGACGAGGTATCTGCTTGTGTAAACACGGGATAGCACATCCTCACTTTGCGAGCGTAGAATCTTGAGGCTGGCAGTCATGATGTGTGGTGCAGGTCTCGGGTCAACAAGGCGGCCAAGGACTTTCAAGGCGAGATTCTTGGAAGACATGAAGTCTCGGCCATTCAATCTGTCCAGGTCCTCAGCTGCCAATCGCATGGCAGTGGGCTTGGACGTAACATTACATACCAATGGTGTGCAAAATGGAGCAGCTACTGTATGGTCTGCACGGTACACTGAGAATGTAATGTTGAAGAGCAACAGCTGCCTCAACTAAACTGGCATCAAGGATCATTCCTGAGGAAGTTGAACACGTGGGGTCGATTGATTCCTCAGCACATGCCCCGCGAAGGACAAGCAACGCAAACCTGCGTCCTCGCTTCTGGGTTCGCTTGCGGGCAGGGAAGAGAAGCAGGATGTTCCACTAAGATTCTGTTGGTGAACCCAAGCTGTTGCAGCTGGCCAGTTTCATCGCGTACTTCACGCCGCTTCTCAAAAACAGTCACCTTGGCTGAGCCGAGATCAGAAGTAGGTAGATCAGAGTTATTGCGCTCTGAGGCTCCAGCTTGATGGCCCCCCAGCTTCAGCTCGATGGCCAATCGCAGTCCGACCGGGCCACCACCCACAACCAGGACCGTCCTTGCTGCTCATTTTGTTGCTTTTGTTCTCTTTCCTTCATGTTTCGTGTCTGCCCCTTCTCTTCATTCCACGGCACTGAGGCTCGATGTTGGGGTTTGGATTTGGCAAGCCGAAGTTGATGGGATCTCCATCTCTGTAGGCAGCTCCTGTCAAAGACAATACATATTTGAAGGATGTGGCCCAGAGCCTGTTTCCCATTTAACTCCTACATATACCCCGTATCGCAGTTTCCATTGTCTCGTCCAATATCCCTATATGACTCCTATATATGAGTGCAGCTCTGTGCTGATTTGGCCGCCAAGGCCTCGCCGCTCGAGCTCATCGAAGCGCCTCCAAATTCGGGGCCACTTCCAGTGGCCTCCAGTGCCTGATCATGAGGCAAGCTGTCTATCTTTAACAAGTTGCTTGTTCTGCTCTTGAACTTCTGGACGATATGTCTTCGTCACTCAGATTTAGACTGGAAATCCGTCTTGGCCTACAATGGCGTACAGCTTCTCATACGGGAGGACAGGATTGCTGCCGTCTGTCGGCCCACTCACAGCTTCCACAACTGTGCTTCTGACGGTCTCCTTGCGTGATTGCAGCTCCGTTGCGTTTTCTACTTCTACCCTGCGCCACTGCAGCTGGAACACGTCGTAAATCTGTTGCCATAAGTCCAGCAAGTCCTCACCTTTTGTCTTTGGTGGCTCGGCCTGCACGAAGAGACCCCGACTGCAAAGCGTCTTCACATCTGCCAAATTTCTTTCAATGGGGCAGCACAGCAGACAATTTGTGGAAACAATGAAGGCAATTACAGTCAATGGTTGGAGGCGTTTCCATGCGGTATGGTGTGCAAACATAGCTTGTCATAGCACCTCTGAGATCACCTGAGTGGGCTACTGCTTAGCTGCTTCTCCGCTAAAATAAGCTTTGCCTGGAAGAATTGCTTGAGCAACTCAACTTTGGTATTGGCCTGAGGGTATACGCATCAGGCTCGGTCAAAAACAGAAAACAGGTTGTCCTTGCGGAAGAGGAGCCAGGTCTTCCAGATCCTTCTGCGTTAGCGACATATCAGCGTGCGGAACTCTGTACACTGCGCACTTGGACCACAGCGCTCAAACAGCACTGCAGCGCTTGCACCGCTTCTCGGCAGAGGCTGAGCCAGAGCAGCGGACAGGGTGAAAAGAATCCTTGAGCCGCTGGCTACACTTGCTTGTGCAAGCTTGTGCAAACCATCTAAACTTGAAGCACTCCTCCAAAGTGTCAAAATCAAAGGTGATTGCATAGGGAATGCCAAGCTCGTCGTTCCGGGAATACCTCCGTGCGCCACAAGTTGGCAAACAAGGACGCTGAGCAAAACTGAGTAAAAGTCAATGCTATAGCTGCGCACCTCTTGCCAATGGTTGCATTGCTCTCGTCAAGCGTAAAGGACCTCCGCTGCTGACCGCAGATGCACTTTGATGACCTGTAAATGAATTTCGGCAAGGACTGGAGGACTTCGTTTCCTCCAAGCCCAAGTTGTTGCACCACATGTCCGTGATCTGTATCATGCCAACAGCAGGACTGAATCTGCCCGGAATCTCTCCGGTCAGTCTCAGTCAACCCTTTTGGAACGCTGCTAATCCATATTTTGGCTTTAGCCTTCAAACTTTCAAGCTTGACCGCGGCCAGACCTGCATCTGCATTGCTTTCAAGGTCCGCCCCCACAGATACCAACAACCCAGCCCATGCTCTACTCCACAAACATAATTGTGATAATACATAGGATAGGCCAAAGAAATCTGAAAAATGCACACCATGACTTCTCCACACCGCAGCCACAGACTCGACTGCTGAGGGCCCTGCAAGCCAAGTTCGACAAGCTGCACTTGAAATGCCTGACAGTGTCAATCAATTTTTGCAGTGTTCCTTGTGAACTACAAGGACAAAGACGAGGCTGTGGAAGCTTCAGCAGGGGAAAAGATGCATCTTGGAAGCCCGACATCCATCATCGTCAGGTAGCGCTCGTCGCGCGCAATGCGCTGGTCGAGAGGCAGGATTACGCACCTGTGCATCAGGGCTGAAACATGTAGTCATGAACAAGCGTGGCAGGAAGCAGATAAACGCGATGGGCTCACTTGTACGGTGCGGAGGACGGGGCGAAAGCCAAGACGCCGCGCGTCTGCTTGTCCTTGTCATCTCCGGGCTCCTCCTGAATCACTGAAGCTGAAAGCAAGCTGAAAGCAAGCTGATGGAATCCGCTACGCATGCTACGCTATGGCTTCTTCCTTTGGCCGGGCATAGTAGACATGCTCCAGAAGGGAGGCAAAGATGCGGTCAATGCCTCGAAGAAGGAATGGGAGGCTGGTGCACAAGAGGCCCTACCCCTATATCGGCTGAGCGTGAATCCGAACGAAGGTTCGATAACTCCCGGTGTGAAGGCGTTGACGGTCTGCTTCTCCATCTGTTCGAGGCGCTCTTCGAGGAATGCTGTACTTCTAATTGCTGCTGCCGAGAGCACCTTCCGCTCAAAAACGGCTAGCTCCTTGGTCAGCGTGAATGACGAGCCATCCACCTGCGCGTAGAGCGTAGCTTTGCAAGATGGTCTTCGGGTTGATCTGCGACTGCTCTCGCTTCTGAAGGCATCTAGTGAACACCCCGGTTTGAGCAAGTGCTTCCACGGGCACCTGTACATCTGCTGTTCCAGCTTCCAGCTGTTTCACAATGCACTCCTCAGATGCCAGGCAATTCACAAAAGTACTGTTCCTATCAGTACTGAAACTTGTTACGATTACTATTCTGACTATCTTTATCATTACAACATATTATTACTACGGTGATTATTATTGAAACTAGTGTTGTTATTATTACCTCCTACTTTTGCTATTATTACTATGGTGATATCAGCCAGACTCAGACTGCGGGCTGTTGTGTAGGAGCCTGACAATTTCCTCCTGCGGCAGCTTCTCGATGAATTCCTGTAGAGTATAATAAGAAGCGTCATCATGACAGCATCGCCTCTGCATGGGTCTCCTTCACTGCGCGTCCATCTTTCTTGAAGGCTTTCATGATATCCACGCCGGATTTCTGGCATGAATCGGGAGAGATTGTATTCACATGGCAAGAATTACGAAAGGCGGCGGTGTGCACCCCATACATGCGAGAAAGTTTGAGCATGCGTGTGACAAAGGGTACTGCGCAATGCATGGCATCGCCTTTGTAAGAGCCAGGACCTCTCTCTCAATGGGCTTCTCCAAAGATTCTTTGTACTGGAGGTCACACTTGGCAGCCTAAGCAGAATCAACACAGATTCAGAGCACATGAGGCCAGCTGGAAATCAAGATCGGTACTCTTGCATGTGCGTTCAGGTCAAAGGCAGACCTGTCCGCAATGCCGACACACTCCAGCCACCTCAGAACTTCAAGCAATGCGCTGTGCGACTTTGTTGCGATTGCAGCGCGCAAAGCGCAAAAACTACGACCATGCTTCTTGCTTGGGGCGTCCGTGTATTCAAATGTCATAGTACTGTAGAACTTGCTTCGTGCCGGGATTGGACATTGGAGCCCAGTTGCCCATAGGAGCCGAAGATCTCCGCATCCCAGCAGTCACAGGCATAGTGCGCCATCTCCGTGGGCAAGTGCTGACGGAACCGAACAAACTCCTTTGGGTGCAGTGCAGGCCAGGCACTGAGACGCCCCAAAGGGCTGGAGATCATTTGAGCCATAATCTAGACTCCTTAAACGGGTTAAATAAGGGATTCTAATCGGATTGCTGTACTATGTGGGTAAGTAAGGGGATACTAGGAGTTTAGACTATGGCTAATTTCATGATTTGCAACCATGTAATTGCCAAACCCATCCTTGTCCAAGCCGATGTGGAGCAGGAATTGATACGTCCTCTGTGCGCAGGCCAGCCAATCATGAAATAGCCATAGTCTAAACTCCTAGTATCCCCCATAAAACCCACCTAGTAGTCCCTTGTAAAACCCCCCAACTCCCTGAAATTATTCACTCTCTTCGCCTCACAATGAAGAAGGCCAAGGTCTCGTTGTTGATAAGGCCCTGGCCTTGCCGGAGCTTGGAGGACTTGAAGTTTCCCTAAATTACTGTTCCCAAAATGAGGGAAATTTATATAGGGCCCCGTATTATAATAGGAACCTAAATATAGGACCCCGTATTGACAGTAATTTAGGACAATCCCCACTTGCTTATGCTTCTCCTTTAGGACTGCATCCATGCTGGGCTTATCCTTCTTCAGTGCAGCGTGCAGACGGACATGATTTCGGAGAACAACTGGGACAGAGTTGGTAGTTTCCTAATTTGGGCCCACCATATGCGATAACCTCTATCATGGGGAGCTTCAAAGTGGAACCAATTTTTGTTTGGGGAAATCCCCAAATTAGTATTTTCCCAAGGCATTGGCCGACAGCATCGCCTGCCGTCATCTTCACTGGTTCCTGGTTGAGTCAGGATGCAGCTCCTTGGATGAACAGCTTACTGGCTGTTAGTAGGGAACATGGGAATAATCCCTAAACCCTAAACCCTAAACCATAATCACCATAAAATCTCTATATAAGAAAAAAATTTTCCATGTTCCCTTATTCCCTACCAACCCTTGGCAGGACGAGTCAGGGTGCTGGCGCCTGTGCTGACAGCTGCGCATCTGAGTGGAAGAGGGTCAGGACCTCGAGGCTTGCGTTCAAGATGAGCTAAACTCCTAGGGTTTAGGGTTTAGGGTTAAGGGTTAGTATCCCCCTTAATAACCCCT